CATCCTTTTCGTTCCGACTGACCATCACTGCCTGCCTGCTAATGGCTCAGAGGGGGCAAATTGTTAAGGACGGCAAAAACCTCAAGCAGCAGCAGTCCGCATCAGCACTCGTTTAATCGAAAATAATTTAAATGCCATCACCACTGATTTCCGCCGCTACCTCTCCGGGTTTAATTGCACCACAAATCACGCCCGACTAGGCAACAAGCAAGCAAGAGCACACCCGTGATATGCAAACTGTCGGATTTTTCTTCCGCACGCGGGGGCAAGAAAAGGGCAGGCGGCAAGAAAAATGAAAAGATTGTATCTGCGAAATTGCTTTTATTTCTTCGTTGACACTGCGACTGAGTGTCGATTATTTGTTGGGCCACTGGCTCGTGAATATTACTGCAGCAGGCCGTCCGCATATGTCGCTCGCTCCTCCTGCGACTATTTCTTATATTGGCGAGATGAATATCGAGATATTCTGGGGGCAATATCGTTGCACACACGTGTGAGAAAGGAAAATCATTCATGAGAAAATCCATCTACATCGGCAGAAAAATCCGCCGAAAATATTTCCATGTTGTAAGACAATTTTAAGACGTTCCAGTCTAGTAAACATGTCACTTGCGCAAACGTGTGTGAGCGGGGGTGGAATGAGGAAACACAGCAAATCACTTCTATCAAAACGCCGGCCCCGCTGGTGAAATTTCAATGCGTTATATGCGCGTATCGGGCACTTTCACCCCCTTCGCGAGTTACGAGCTGGCTTTCATGAAACTATAGCGATATTCAATAAAAATCAAGCGCGGGGAAAGTTTCTCCCTGGCCTACGCACGCACAGCGCATTCCGGGGAGATATATTCGCGGGGTCACATAACAATCGAGAAAGGATGGCGCATTATAAGTTCACCGTAAAATATCTCAGCGGTGGCAGGTGCCCGACGTGCGCGGCAATATCCATATATCGGCTGGGGTAGTTTGTTGGCATTTTTGGTGATTGAATTTCGGGAATGAAATGTGGGTCGGCGACACATACTTGCAATTATTGTAGAAAAGCAATTTGTATGTTGGCCATCGAAAAGCAGTTATCGGAAAAACGGCGACCGAGGGAGGGGGGCGGCAATGGCAATATTCGTATATTTTGCGCGCATACATCTTTCTTGTATTATTTTCCATCGGGCGCACGATTATTGTTTGCCAGCGGAGGCAGCGGCGGCGGTGGAGGTGGAGGCGGCGAGAGGAGAGAGGGGGATGCTTGATATGTAAACGTCTTGAACGGGCGTAAGCAGGCGCGGCGAGGGTGGGAGGCTGTTTGGCGGTGGGTTAGAGGTGTCGATGTTGCGCGCCGGGCGAATCGCCGCCGTGACCGGCCCATGCTGGTGCCGCTGCCGCTGCCCGCCGCCGCCGCCGACGCTACACACTATCGCGACGTGGCGCCCGCCGCCGCTATACTGGCTTGTGTATATACATATACACGCAAACAACACAAACTGCATGCGCGCATCGGAGGCGCGCACGCCGCCCCGCCTGCTGCGCGCCCATACGTCGCTGCCGCCACCGCCGCCTGCGTGGAGCGGCGCGGAGGCGACGCCGATGACCCTTTTTGCGCAACAACACAACTAACTCTTGTTCTTTCTAGCGAAAAAGAAATAATTAATAGATGCTGTTACCATTTATGTGTTTAGTTGTGTTTAGGTGTTGTGCTGTGAGTGTTGTGCCAATCGCCCCGCACCTATGAAGTACTGCGAAACGCGGATGCTGGCTTCCTTTGCTCAGGTACACACCTAGTGTTTGCTTCTTATTATTTATCGCAACGAGTGAAAACCTAAATTATTGTGAAACATCCGCTCGCTCGCTGTCTGGCTGTCCGGTTGTGCAAAGTGCGCCGAGTTTATTTATTTTCACAGCTCACATTTGATAAAAGCGGAAGATACGCACACACTCCTTCTTAAATAAACATTATTTTGGTGCCTAGTGCCGCGGTGTGTTTCGTGTTGTGTGGAAGACTCGTGTTTATTCGTGGTGCGTCAGTGCGATTTGCTACAAAACAATATTTAAACAAACATTTCTCACGCAACTAATATTAAGCAGACGGAGATTCTCTTTTGCCTCTCTGAAATCACATAGCATACATCGTATTTACGTGTTTATCGCGAGTTGTTGTGCCCTCCGACGTGCACGGTACGCCAGCGAACGCGCAACTGAAGCGACGGCGGCGGCAGCCGATCCGCGACCCACCCTCACCAAGTTTGTACACGCTACACGGCGCATCACAACACAACAACACATAAACAGCGCCCCAATTGCCGAGTTTCGCCGAGCGGCTGCATTCCATCGCCGCCTCCGCTTTCCACGCTCGTCCTAGCACAAACCTACATCGTTTGCGCTACTAAACACCAAACAAAACACAAACATGATACCGATTCAATTATGTGCGTGGCATGTGCGTGCGTATAATTAAAATCGCCAGTAATTAAGAGGGTAAACTGGTGATATTAATATTTAGACTCGCTTTTGTTACAAATGACAGGCTGTCGCCGACAGCGGTCGGACGGATTGCGCCGGACGCTCATAAATTTCTCTCGCCGCCGCCGCCGACGGTGCAGTTAAGTGCGGCCAGTCCGTGCTGGCCAGATCGTAAAGTGTGAAATTCGGCAGCTTGTAAATTATATACATTTATCACCGCCCAAGTTCGAACCACGCCGAAATAAACTAACAACTCACTTAAGAGTAGAGCGTTAACGTCGGGGGCGGCTAGGTATTTAGTGTAAATGGCAAAACCAATCACAAAAACGTGTATTTTGTTATTTTTGTTTCGAAACCGGCGTAATTACAGCGCACCTTGCAGTTCGTGTATTGTGATGGGCCCCTCTTGGTTTATTCAAATCAGAAAAGACCTTCTTCATCTCATCTTCAAGACACATATATTTACTCGTGCTGAATTATTCGAATGAAGTTTTTTATACCGCCCTCTGGTTCTAATTTCATTGTTCTGACGCTCACCCTCCGCCGCCGAGACGGCCGCCATCCGCCCATCCGGCGTGTTTTATGTTTCTTTCGCGACTGTTTGTTATATCAGCGCATTTTCTTATATAAGTTACGAGCGAGTTCCTGGACGAGTCTTTTCTTTATTTTTCGCATTCTCAAGTTTGCCTATTTCGCTGGAGAAGAGCGCATCGTATATTAAGGTATATATTGTGTGTAATGTTATAAATTTCCATTGATGCGGCTGCGGGGCTAACAAATATTTACCGTGGCCTCGTTCTCCGCAAAGAGTTGCCTCGCACGCAATGAATGATAAGACGTTAAAATGCATTACCATGATGTCGCGCGAGATAACAACGTGTGCAGGGGGCACATTATGCGAAAAATATGGAAATAATATTGCTCCCGGCTCTGCATGTGAAATATGTGATCGAGGGAGGAAAGTATTTTATTTTTGCTTTGCTGCGGCATCTTTGGATGGGCCGCATCCGCGACGTGAATACGAAGTGTTAGTTTTAGCGAAAACAACGCGAGACACCATTCAGGTATGATCTGACCCCCACCCATAATTTAGGGTATGCACCATGGCTCTGAGATGGATGCGATATTGTTTGCCTCTTCCGGACAGGGATTTTTGAATTTTAAAAAGTTTTATTTAAATTTCTTCTTATATTAGACGCGACTCGTTTGAATAAACATTTTTCGACTGGCCCAAAAATGTCGAAGGGGCGTTTAAAACATCTCCGTAATAAATATGCAATCAAACTGAATTAATTTGCATTTTTCTACAGGATTCCAAATCAGAACTTTTCACTTCATTTTTATTTGCTGCATATTAAAAAATAAAATTTCGCATTTAATGGATATTCAATGTTAGAATGCAAAGATTGATTATTAATTTTACTTGACTCCGCACCTGATGGTCGCGAGTCGCTAAGCGCATTAGCGCTGTTTTGGCGAGGGGGTGCGTGTGCGTTACCCCTGCGGCCCAACAACAACCCTGCTTGTTTACAAACATCTCCTTGTTTCTCCCCTCGTTCGAGCAAGATTAAAAGCAGAGTATCAGATGGATGACCAAATTTCATATGCAACCCAATTTGAGTAACTTTTGTGAAAAAAAGGGAAATTCGTACATCTTGTTGGATTTTCAGGCCGAAAAAAGGAATTAAATATTCTCCAGTTTATTAAAACTGTGTGCACATTCCTTTTGCTAAAATATGCATAGGGTTGCAGGCGAGGAACGGCGATTGCAATCAACGTACACAATTTGCTCCGCTGCTAGATTGCGATTATATAATTCAGAACGACCACTAATTGATATTGAATCATTAATACGGAAAACACACCCCAGCATCAGCCAACGCAAACTCAAACTAAGACTTTCCTTTTGGGGAGCAGAGAAATTCAGCTCCGACTCAGCACAATAGCGCGTATTATTACATTACCCAGCCTAAGAAAACCCAGACGTTTTTTCTGCGTCTGATTTGATTATCACTGGCGTATTGCATATATTGTCATCGTGTCTGGTCGACTTTTATTAGCATTTGCGCAAGACATGCCCCCGAAGTTACAGCTAACGATTGTCGATCAAATTTATTTACTTTTTGTGTGAGTGAAGACGGCCATAAAGCATGTCGCATTTGCAGAGTGCTAGTGTATAAAAGCGCAAGACGCTTTAATGCGTATAAATCATGCGGAACGCGTTGTCTCTCTGCCGGACTGCGTTGTGCATGAAAGCGCAGGTATTATGAGCGCACCATTGCGCCAAGACGAATGGCTTCCGAGGTCCTAATGCAGGGCATTCGCAACCGCCCCGCGCGCGCGAAATCAATCACATATATCACACACGCGAGCCACGTGCCGCACGCAAGGATTTATGCTGGAAAACACAGCATCTGGAGAGGAGTTTTATCCTGTAGGGCAGGACGATAAATCTAGTTTAAACGTTGCGAGTCAATTCATTGCCCATCGCTCGAGGTGATTAGGATGTATTTTTTATACTGATGGGGTTGATGTGTTTGGTGGTACAGCAGGCTGCCTCCCTAGAGAAGGTGCTCAAGGAACAGCAGCAGCAGCAACAGCAGTTGAAGCTGGAGCGTGCCTGGGACCAGGAGGACCGTGATGCGAATGGAAATGGCAGCACTAGCCCCGGCTCTGACGCCGCCGCCCGGCATCATGACCACTCGCCACCGCCGGCGGCACTCACCTCTGACGCGCAGAAAGCTCTTAATGCGGCGATACCCGTCTCACAAGTACACATACTTATCTACCTCTTTATTCTTCTTGTAATGCAATTCTGTTAAACACAAACACAGGCTCAAGTAGGCAGTCATCCACCGATGATGTCTTCGCCCGTCTCCGGCTTGCATCACATGCAACAGCTGCTGCAACAGCATGTGCTCAATCCGTCGCAACTGCAGAACCTCATGAAGCAGCATTCTCTCCTGCAGCAGCAACAGCATCAGGTGCTTATACATGTTTTTTGATGAGTGTCACATTGATGGCATGAATATTTGTTTGCTTGGTAGCATCAGTTGGCCGAGATCGGTAAGAAACAGATGGAGCAGACCATTCAGCAGCTTCAAGAGCAGCTGCAGCTGAATCTCATCCAGCAGACGCACATCCTCCAAAGCGGGGACAAGAAAAAGGCCCCTGGGTCACTACAGCAGCTTAGCATTCAACAACAGCAGTTGATTCAACAGTTGCAGTTGATCCAACGGCAATACGTGGTGCATCAGGGTATGGGTATGCAGCCATTAATGTTGCCACAACCCACAGGTACCCCCCAATATTCCTAAATCCACCCCAATTGTAGGCTGTTATGCATTTATTGTTTTAATACAGGTTTAGGTTCTCGAGACGTGATGAGTCCTTGGAAGGAGTCCAACCCCGACCGAGATCATCCCAACAATAACACTCCCAATGAATTGAATGGTTTATTGGGTGCGTTGACACCTGGTCGGACGAGTCGGGAAGATTCGATTGTAGATGACAAACCGGACGCTGCGTCAAATAGCACCCCCGACCGTGTTCATCATTTGTACGGGCATGGCGTGTGCAAATGGGCAGGGTGCGAGGCCATCTGCGATGACTTACCGACTTTCATGAAGTAAGTCTTGCTCTTTTCTTTGCGTTGCCCCTTTCGCTTGTATCGAAGTTTTTTGCGGGAGGGATAGAAAATTTGGCGCGACGGGAAGTAATAACGCGCCCGCATCGCCCGAGGGATTAACATTTAAACCTCCGCGACGGCGTGGCAATCAAAAGCCTTGCATATTAATTGGACGCCGGGCGAAATTAGTGCGTTTTTTTTGCAAAAGCGACTTAAATCGTCCCCGAGGCGCAAAGACATCGCCTTTGTTAACCTCTTGTCTTCTTGCTTCTCAATCGATGGTTTTGCATATTAATTCATTTACACATTTCTAAGGCATCTCAACACCGAACACACACTGGATGATCGGTCGACAGCGCAAGCAAGGGTGCAAATGCAGGTGGTGTCGCAACTGGAACTGCAACTGCAGAAGGAACGCGACCGCTTGCAGGCGATGATGCATCATTTGCATCTCGCCAAGCAGATGGGTACACCCGAACCCAATCTCCACGGTGATCTCACTAGTGGCGGCGGCGGTACGACTCCATCGTCCAAGTTGCCCAGTGGGTCGTCGGTGTCTCAACCTCCTGTCTCGTTGAGCAGTCTCGTCACTGCCGCCCGCTTCCCGGTGCTCCAACAGAATCAGACGAATGTCGCCGGTCCCATCCGACGGCGAATAAGCGACAAATCCGCTCTCTCCCTCGCCGGCGGTAAGTGCACACATTCATTTGCATACTGATTGATGATAATCACATTCAAATCTTAGCGAAAAAGGTTTCGCTAATCTTCGTGTAGCTTGCGCCAAGTCTGTTTTTAAGTGTGGAAATCTGTTTTTCTTCCTTCACGCCGCGCTAATAGGATTACCGTACATGCTGGAGCGCGCCGGACTCGACGTGCAGCAAGGTAGTAGACTAGCAATTAGCACGAAACGCATTACACGACGCCATCTTGCATGGCGTCTCCTGCATCGATTGTAGTTTTCGTATGATATGCATTTGTTTGTTATGTCAAGCTGCCTTGAACGATTCGTCGAGCGAATTACCACCGGATGCATTGCTGTACAAGGAAATAATGGCGTTTCTGTACTTTTCAGAAATCCAACGGAATAGAGAATTCTATAAGAACGCTGACATACGGCCGCCATTCACATACGCGTCGCTCATTAGACAGGTAATATACGCACACAAGTGTGACGGTGTCAAATGTCGTCCGCTATTGACACTGTTTCTATTATTCCACAGTCAATAATCGAGTCGCCCGACAAACAGTTGACGCTCAACGAGATCTACAACTGGTTCCAGAACACCTTCTGTTACTTCAGACGCAACGCTGCGACGTGGAAGGTAATGCCCGTTTTTCTTTTTCTCACTTTGTGCGTGAAATCAAATGATTACGAATCGTATTGTCGCGAGAGGATAGTTCTTCCGACTTGGTGTCGGCATCACGGGCATAACCAACGGCCTTTACATGTAATGCGTATAACGAGCCTTCTGGTGCCTTTACTAATACTGTTTTGCCCCGAAGCATTTTACTTTTAATGTGAACCTGTGGTAAAGTATTAGATGTAAACAGGATACACGCAACATCTCGCTGCATGACCTATTAATTAATTAGTTTCTGAGTTATGATTTTGGTGGCGCGTGGAGGTCGATTGTAATTCACAATTCGATGTGATCGATTACAATCGGCCTCGACGAATGACACGAATGACACACGAACTCGTCCTGCTCAATGTCGATGTTGTGTTGGTCGGGGGTGGTAAGTACGCGCGCGTCCCCGCTGGAGCAGTGAAGGAGCAGCCATGGATCGCATTTGTTCATTCGCCGACCTGTTTTGTTGCATAGAACGCGGTCCGTCACAACCTCTCGCTGCACAAATGTTTCATGCGCGTGGAGAACGTTAAGGGTGCCGTGTGGACCGTGGACGAGGTGGAGTTCTACAAGCGGCGGCCGCAGCGGTGCTCTTCGGGGCCGCTGGCCCTTCCAGTCGTCGGGTACGTCAACGAGGCCCGCCATATATAATCAAATTCCACCACCCCCACTCCGCACCCCGTCTGTCTTCTACCATATCTTGTGTACATTGTGTGTGTTTTTACATTTTTATACATATCTCTTTTATTACTACTTTTGAAATCTCTTTTATACATATTTTAACTTTTTTAAACATATATATATATATATTTGAATATTAACCACGATATTGTATGGACTAACATTTTGTGTACGTGCGTGTGGTGTGTGTGGCTTAGATGCCGGTATGTTTGTGTGTGTGGGTGTTACGAAGGGCCGGTTCAGTACTGCCAGCTATAACCTCCAGCGAGCGCTACTGCACACTACTAACTTGCCTGCTGCTGCCGGATGGCGATGCTGAGGACTTCGGAAGGTATCTCGCATTTCGTGTGTGTGCGTGTGTAGGGTACCGGCGTGACCGCCACGAGAGACTTGCGTTTAACCTTGAAACCAGCCGAGCTGATTGTGTGATCTTTCTCTTTCTTGGGTACTGTGTGTCCTCTCACTGTGTGCGTAGAACGCGATACGCACGAATCTCTCGCTCCACAAGTGCTTTGTGCGCTACGAGGACGACTTCGGCTCCTTCTGGATGGTCGACGACGCCGAATTCGTCAAGCGCCGCCACCTGTCGCGTGGTCGCCCGCGGAAATATGACCCAACCCCATCACCCACTCCACCCCACTGCGCACAGTAAGCACTCTCTCCAGGAAACAAAAACAAAATGAGAACAACAACGCCCAATGTCCGATACTAGACTCTTAGAATCAGTGTGCTTCTTGCTCGCCTGCTTAGAACAACTCCCCAAACACCTCGAGCCAAACAACCATTAATCATTGCATGGATTACCTCCACCAGTGTTGCCTCGTAGTGCTTACACATTATCCCCCGTATGTTTTGTTTTGTTTTACAGTCGTACCAATATTCGCCGAAAAAATGAGCATCAATTACTCAACTCAACTCAACTCGGTGTACTGGGGACAAGAAAATCTCACTTTAAGATGCTCAAAATCCGCGATAAGACCGTATAATTTATATTCCACCCCTGCTATCTCAATTGTTGGGCCCGAGAAAGGGTTGGCCCGTTGGGGGTCGCGAAATTAATTGGTCCGACTGTAAATTGCAAATCTGCATGCAAAAAAGCATCCGTAACTTAACCCAGCAAATCACCAAGAAACCATGATAATATCATTATGAATATACTTCTCAATTCTCGGTCACACACTCACACCACCAACACTCATTGCGATCTCTTCCTCCTCATGCACGACCACAAAGATAGCGGCTGAACGATGGCGCTCGCAGATGTCTCCCGAACTAGCTAGTCGGTGCCCTAGTCTAGACCTAGACCTAGTCGCTGCCTAGTTGAGCCGGCTTTTAGAATGTTTGGATAGCGCCGCGAGGCGTGCGCAACGCTTTGCTCCACGTTGCCCGGCGCCTTCGCCGTCCGCGTGTTTGCAGAGGTGCCATTTGCATATTCGCAATCGTGTAAACAATCGGCGCTGTTCTTAGAACATGAGCCCACACGCCGGAGGATGCACTCTAGCAAAGTGCCCTCCGCATATGCTCACCATTCGGGCGGGCGGGCGGCGCAGTAGGAGAAGAAGCGTTGCGCACTGCTGAGGGCATCAAATGCATTTTAATGTTTGGAATGAATGTTGGATTGAATATGTTGCTCATGGAATATGGTTGCTCCAGCATCACAACGAAAGATTTCCTCAATTTTGAGGCAAGGTAACGCGGATTTAAGTATAAGCGTAAATATAAACAGGATAATAACGTAATATCTCGTAAATTTAATTCATTTTTCGAAACTTCTTGATGTTTTTTACATCTTTTTTAAATATTTTTCAATCTTGCATGTAATAGTAAACGTTCCTGTATGATTCTTTTCAAATTGAATATTTTAAACTTTTTAATATCAAAATTCTCAGTCAGCAAGTCAGTCAGTTCATTCCCGCCGGAATCAACATTGATCAGGTACGTTTTTGATTCTCATACAGGAACAAACTTGCATAGTTTTTAAATTGTATATATAAACATTATTTCTGCATGATTCAAACTTTTTCTTATAATATAAGTACTCTGTTTATCTCGGATATCATTATTGCCAAATCGCAAGTGTGAGTTTGCGAATGTTTCATCCCAAAATGAAAATTCAGTAAGTGGTTTGATCTCTTTTTGAACTTTTTCGCTTTTTAAACTAACATCTAGATGTTCTCGTTCTCGTATTTAAAATATTTCCCTACTTACGTAATAAACATATTCTTAATCTTCCTTCTCTAAATGTCGTATATTGTTCATACCTTCCTGTGGATTTATAAAGGACGCTTTGTTTATTAAATTCGTTTCTGCTATAGGGGCGCGTCGAAAAGTCCGGCGATGAAACACAGTCCTCCAATGTACGGCGAATCATTACCGTCGAATTTGCAGGTGAGTTTAAAAAAAGAGTCCCAGAGAGATGAATACATTAATGATGGAATTTCATTAGTATTCACAGGCTCCCTTACTGGAGGAAAGTCTAGCCTTCACCTCCGGAGCAGGTAACATGGAACGACAGCGCGAATGTTCCGAATCGCCAAACCACGATCTTATACGGTTGGAACAAGCACGAAATATCATCCGGTTGTTATCTGATTCAAGTTATTGTGATGCCCACAGGTCTCCAATGAATGGCAGTCTGCACATCAAGCAGGAGAGCCTAATGACGCCCGAGCATCCCCATCACCCGCATCTGGGACAACCCCAGCAGCACCACCATGGGTCAGAGGCGTCGCATCACATCATCAAGCGTGAGATGCACCACGACTACGACAACGTCGACCAGGACGCGCACACGGACGGCGGCATGGCCGAGGATCTCACTGTGGGGCAGGACCATGCCGGCGGCGGCGACACGTAGTGCCCGCTGCGTTCGCGCCACTTCAGTTACTTCTGAACGTGGCCGCCAGCTCAACCCTTACAACGAGCAAACAACACTGGAAAGTAGCCGCCATATCTGAACTCGTCTTGCAGTTCGCTGTGACAAGACACTCTGTACATACTACATAACTGTGTGTAAATAGTTAAAATGTTACTACGGATGATGGAAGTGTGTTTACGTATTGTTAATTGTTTAGACCTTAAACCGCGTGGGGGCGGCGCGAGAGATTGTTCGAATCGGTATGATGTATTCAGAAAATAGGCGAGATTTTTTAGTTGTGCTAGTTAAGCAGCAGGAACATGCCATACAATTACACACAATACTATATTACATTACAGGGTTATTTATTGAACGTGATGCATTTATTATGTAATTGTTTCGTCGTCATCACTATTTGTATTTAGGAGGAAACAGTACGCAAAAAATGTCTGTAAACCAAGTATTAACGCGGCTACACGTTGATGAATAAGCAATACAAACATTTGTGAACTGATTGGAAACAACAATGACGCGTGGGTTGAACATCGGCAGTAAGTTATTCCATATCACTATCTAAAAATGAAGTAAAGTAAAAATCGTATATCAATGTATAAACTAAATTAAAATAGCGTATAGATAAAGTAATACAGAAATAATTACATGAAACGATAATGAATAGGTTTTCGTATACAACCCATTATACATAAAGAAACGCATACATATATTCATTAATACATAGGTAGCCATCTTGTTCATCCTCATCTCGGCACGCGCGGCGCTCGTAATTTATTTCAACGCATTTCTAGAGTAATTTATAGGATACGATTTGTTTGACAGTATCAAATACTAACAACCGACTGGTATCGCTGTAACGGTGAACACGACATTATTAACAATTAACTACCCGCCATTCATATCTCATTGTTGCCAAAAAATGAAAAATAACGAGAAGAAAATAACTACATTCGCATACATGTGATAGTACTTTAGTTCGGAACAATTTATCTAATTACTTAGGAATCATAGCTAGTTAATAAGCGTGGTATTCGCATATCGCATGGACGAAGACAAGATGGCGGACTGTCATGCGACATACTCACCGTGCATAATATATTTACGTTCGCATTTACATCAGAGTGACGCAATTGTAAGCGCAAGAGAGGGACGAAGCCTACATATCAAATATTGCACGGGGCGGATGGAGTCATTTACGACATCGAAGATTACGATGAAGATGTACTGTAAACTTTCTTGTATATCAAATATCCTCTCATTTGTTTAACTAATAAAATTATTATTACTATAAATAAAGCAATAACAAAAATTATTACTACAGTTTCTTCATTACAATGAATCAAGCAAGCAAGTAACTGAAATAAATCTAAGTCCATTTGATATCCTAATATCAATCATTCTAGTGCAAGATTGGTTGCATATAGACACTTTCAAGGTTCAATCTGCTTTGCCAAAGGCGTTACAAAGATGAAGGATTATGCTCGATAAATACTGAACGCATGTAGTGCGGCCAAACAGGACGGAATACAGGAAAACAGGAATACTTCTGCTATATACTGGCGGCTGCCATGTTTTTAAATATTCCCGCTTTTAAAATTGTAACCTAGGAGGGCGCTACGGTTTCGAAAGAAGTTTTGAACAGCTGTAGCCGGTTACGTGTCGTCATTAACAAGGTAGGAAAGGTATACGTGTACCTGCACGCGAGTTCACTTAAAGTCATTCGCTGATGTGTATTGGCCCGTCTCTGCTCGAGTCAGTATTATCAACAACATCAACAAGTGCGCTCACATAACACAATATATGTGTGTATTGCGCCATTTGTGTTGGTTTGTGACTTAAACACGTTTTTTTTAAATACAGACAAAATGCAGCTTCGGACGAGCGCAACAAGCGCCCTTTTGGCCTTGCTATTGAACATATTGTTCATTCTCTCTCAAGTGCATGGTCAAGGAAGAGTAGCTCCAGGTGTTCCTCCTCAACACTATCAGGTTAATAAATGACAAAACTTTAATTTTGAGCAAGTAATGAAAGTTGTATGATTTTTAGCAAGTTCCTCAGCAACAATATCAACCACCTCCTCCACAACATCAGCAAATGCAACAGCCACACCATCAACAACAACAACAGCAGCAGCAGTTTCAGCACCAGCCACAGCAACCACAATTTCAACAGCAACAAGTGCCTGCACACCATCAGCAAGTCCCACATCAACAGGTTTCTGAATGTTTCTAGTTAACTATTATGTAATAGTAATAATTTTGTTTATTTAAAGCCTGGTGGTCATCATCATGGACACCATGAGGTGCCTTCACAAGTGTTTAACCCCGGAAACATTCAACAAGAAAAAGAGTATGTTTATTGCAATTGCAGACATAGTAATATTGGAATAATCCATATTTTAGGCACATAGCTGAACATATGGAAGTGCCAATGGACACAAGCAAGATGACAGACCAAGAGCTACAATTTCATTATTTTAAGATGCATGATGCTGATAATAACAACAAGTTGGATGGTTGTGAATTGATCAAGTCTTTGATTCACTGGCATGGTGAGTAATTTCAACCAGTGTGCTTTTGTTTGCATGAAACTTAAACGGTTTTTTTTTTCGTTAATTATTATGCACTTGATGTGTGATTTGATGTGCTTTGTGGCGCGATTTGGGTGTTTGTATTTATTGTGTGATATAGAACAGGGCAGCAAGGATCAGAACAGCCAGAATAAGGTGGAGGACAAGCTTTTCAAAGATGATGAACTAGTGAATCTCATCGACCCCATTCTGAACATGGACGATCTGAACAAAGACGGCTACATTGACTATCCCGAGTTTGTACGCGCACAGCAGAAGGCCGCCGCCGGGGGTGGCCAGCAAGCCCCGAACCACTAATTGTACGTTTTGTTGTGACGCTTTACTTTGCTTCTCCTTGTTTCGTGTTTTCTTCGAGTAAATATTAAGTTTTCTATGGTTTTGCTGTGTTTTATTATGAACAGAAATGTTTCTCTGTTAATCAGTGGATGATAAGGCGACAGATAAAGCCCAATATCAACCAATACCCGACGCTACCATCGAAGCTACCGTCGATCCACTGCTAAAGACTCTGGATCTCAACAATGATGGGCATATAGATTTTCCGGAATTCAAGTCGGCAACACCAAATATCCAAGCTTAAATTTATCTCTCTGAAATTGATTATCCATACATGTACGTTAATGGCTGCGGCACTTCCAATTCAAACGGTTTTCACTTTGTTTTACACTTGTTTTTACCTATTTTCTGTTCATTTTTCGACTGAGTAATGCTAATCTTCACGGTTGATTAGTTGTATATAAGGGATAATATACTTTTGTACAAATTTACAATCTTAAATAAATGCTTAAAAATTGAGTGTTTTCTTCACGGTAATTCGTTTCTAATTGAACGCAAAAACAATTGGCGCGCTTTCCTACGAAATAAAATCCCTGCAAATTCTAGGGATTTCAGGTCTGCCCCTGTTTTGAACGCGGCGGGAAAAGTTAAAATAACCTGCTAAAGTTCCGCACGTTATTACCTAAGATATTAGTTTATTGCTAATTTCAATATAACAATAAAAACTTAAGAAATTGTATTTGTGCAGGAGATACAGCTGTCTATTCCATTAAGTTTTGAAAATTTATAAGGTAGGGATTGTTTGTTTTTGTTCCGGCAATTTGGCGATTCAGCATGAAAAAGCCGGCTGAAAAGTTTCCTTTCATGATTCATTTGTTAACGTAAACAACTCGGCTTTGGACTCTCGTTTTGGGCGTATAAAAGATTCTAATTCATCCAGCAGGAAACAATTAAATTGAGGTAGGAAACAAATCAACGTTTACATTTATTATTATTTACGTTTCGTCTTTAAAATTTGCCATTTACTAATGCCGAAACATATTTGTAACATACTCTGCATTGATTTTTCTCTAAACGTAACCTAAAATTCTGCAGAACAATGCATTCTCCAAGCGATGATGAGGAACATGAAAATGATGACTGGAATCAAGCACAATTTCGGAAAACAGCAGTTCTGCTTGTGGATTGCCATGATGTCAAGTCTCTGCAGATTGCTCTCAAAGCTGCATTCAACTACTTTGATAGTACTGTAATGACCAATCATGGTAAACAGATATACTTGGATCTCCTCTTGTGTCATCCTGATATAAACAAGCAAACCATTGTGGACAGCAAAACCAATGCAGTGGATGCTTACCAACTGCTTTTCAAATTATCAAGAATGTCTGAAGCTGACCTTGAAGTGAATTACAAAGTCACTGATGCCAATGAGAAGCCTTTTTCTTCTTATCTTTTGAATGCTATGAAGCTCATCACGGATCAAAACACTAGCATCATGTATGCTACATCTATATCTGATCCATGTCTTGATGAGCAGGACAGACTTCAAACAATGGCTCATTTTATTAATCTGCAATACTGTGGCAATACTTTCAAAGTGTTTGCTTTGAGTGACACACTGGATTTCAGTGTTTTCTATGATGAAGTCTATGACACACTGGACCAAAAGAAGTATCACAAATATTTTGATGTCAACACTTTAGGAGAGAAGCTGCTAGATGCTATTCATATTAAAGAGCACACAAAGTGTTTTAACCTGTTCCCTTATCCGGAATGTCCGAATCCATTGAAGGTTTATTCACTCAATGTGGTCAAGAAATATCCATACCGTGCGCCAGTTGCAATTCATAACACTACTCGGCAGTTGCTAACTCAGGAACAGCGACCACCTGAACATCCTTTAAATGCGAAAACTGGATATTTTGTAAGGCTCGGAAAAGATGGGCAAATGAGTGTTGAAATATCCGAGGCAGAGTACAAAGAGGCGCAACGCCTTGATGATATTCCTAAGGGCATTACGTTGATGCAGGCGAAACCGCTTGCAGAACGTCCTTACTCTATCAAGGGCCTTGGTCTACATAAAACAATGCTATTGGGCGCGGACTCAAAGGATCCATCTGCTTTCAGGAGTCTGTGGGCTGCCATGAAAGACCTACGTCTCCTCTGCCTCTGTAAGTTCACCGACCCGAGAGTATTTTGGGCTGAAATGGTGCCTGTACTGGTGGAAGACACATGTCATTTCTTGCTACGCTTCATACCGCAAAAAACTGAAATATTTGCAAACAAGATAGGCGGTGATGTTCCAAAATTAAAAACCACAGATTTGCGGCAAGATGTTTTGGATGAATTGATTGATGCATTCCAAATTGATTCATGGGAGACTGTTCTTCACACCATGGTTCCTCCCAGGGTGCAGAGAGAGGCAGAGTATGTAAAGAAAGAGTTGCTTGGTAGTGCGTACCAACAGGCGAAGGTAATTGATTATCCTGAGATGAAGTTGTATCGTGGGGAAGATTTGCAGATAGAGAAGTGTTGCAAGGCGCTGGAACTGCACTCTAAAAGCGAACGCGAAGTCAAGAAAAGGAAGCGTTAAATTTTTTCAGCAAAATATACAAAATATATTATGTTATGTCTTAAAAATATATTCATTTATATGTGTTTAATTCAAATGATTAATTTTTGTTACTATGGTCTAATTATACTTATAATACTTACTACTTATAATTCTTTTGTGTTAAATGTAAGTATTTTAGGAAAATTTGAAAACATGCTGTGGAAAACACCCTGTATCTTGCAAACCAACATCCTTTTTTTGAGTTTTTATCGCCATTTTATAGCTTAAGAGACGCTCTACAAAATACATGCCATTTTAATCCGCTAAACATCCTGGAAGTGCCCTAAAATGCCCTTCAAACATCGCCCTTTTTTGGAAATTTTGAAAACAGGCTGTGGAAAACACCCTGTATCTTGCAAACTAATACAGTTTTTTTGAGTTTTTCAGCGCCATTTTATAGTTTAAGAGACGATCTACACAATACATGCCATTTTAATGCGCTAAACTTTCTGGAAATGCCCTAAAATGCCCTTCAAACATCGCCCTTTTTTAAAAATTTTGAAAACATGCTGTGGAAAACACCCTGTATCTCGCAAACTAATATACTTTTTTTGAGTTTTTCACCGCCATTTTATAGTTTGAGAGACGCTCTACACAATGCATGCCATTTTAATCCGCTAAACATCTTGGAAGTGCCCTAAAATGTCCTTTAAACATAGGCCTTTTTTGGAAACTTTGAAAACATGCTGTGGAAAACACCCTGTATCTTGCAAACTAATACAGTTTTTTTGAGTTTTTCAGCGCCATTTTATAGTTTAAGAGACGATCTACACAATACATGCCATTTTAATGCGCTAAACTTTCTGGAAATGCCCTAAAATGCCCTTCAAACATCGCCCTTTTTTAAAAATTTTGAAAACATGCTGTGGAAAACACCCTGTATCTCGCAAACTAATATACTTTTTTTGAGTTTTTCACCGCCATTTTATAGTTTAAGAGACGCTCTACACAATGCATGCCATTTTAATCCGCTAAACATCTTGAAAGTGCCCTAAAATGTCCTTTAAACATAGGCCTTTTTTGGAAACTTTGAAAACATGCTGTGGAAAACACCCTGTATCTTGCAAACTAATACAGTTTTTTTGAGTTTTTCAGCGCCATTTTATAGTTTAAGAGACGATCTACACAATACATGCCATTTTAATGCGCTAAACATCCTGGAAGTGCCCTAAAATGCCTTTCAAAAATTGTTATTTTTTTACGTTTTTTTTTAATTTTTGGGTCGTGAACCAGGGCCAAATTTTTATTTCAACATTCTTTATTCTGCAAAACTTGAAATAATTTATAACATTTTTGTCTGAAGAACAGGGCCAAACTTTTTAAGTTAAAATATTTTTGGCCGAAGAACAGGGCCGAACTTTTTGTGTTAAAATTTTTGGGTCAAAGAACAGGGCCGAACTTTTCAGTTAAAATTTTTTCGGCCGAAGAACAGGGCCGAACTTTTTAAGTTAAAATTTTTTGGTCGAAGAACATTTTTTTCTGCAAAATCAAAATAAAACTTTGAACGCAAATAACTCCTGAACTAAAAGGGCTAGAAGAGAAAGGACGGCAGATTCTTGACCCTTGAAGGATTCTCTACAAGATAGGCTATTAAAAACGGCCCTTTTTTTTTCTGCTCAAAACTGAAAAAAGTGCAAAGAGGTACCTCTTATAGGTTTTTTGATTTTTGAAGAAATCAAACTAAACACCCTATCCTGTTTAGAACCCTTTAAGGATTAAGGGCCTGAAGTCCGTTTTGTTCTAGCCCTTTTAGTTTCCGAGATAATCGCAATTAAAAACTTTAAACGCTCATAACTCCTGAACTAAAAGGGCTAGAACAAAAAAGGCGGCAGATCCTTAATCCTTGAAGGATTCTCTACAGGATAGCGTGTTCAGTTTGATTTCTTCAAAAATCAAAAAACCTATAAGAGGTACCTCTTTGCACTTTTTTCAGTTTTGAGCAGAAAAAAAAGGGCCGTTTTTAATAGCCTATCTTGTAGAGAATCCGTCAAGGGTCAAGAATCTGCCGTCCTTTCTCATCTAGCCCTTTTAGCTCAGGAGTTATTTGCGTTCAAAGTTTTATTTTGATTTCGCAGGAAAAATGTTTTTCGACCAAAAAAATTTTAACTTAAAATGTTCGGCCCTGTTCTTCGGCCAAAAATATTTTAACTTAAAAAGTTCGGCCCTGTTCTTCAGACAAAAATGATATAAATTATTTCAAGTTTTGCAGAATAAAGAATGATCAAATAAAAATTTGCCCCTGCTTCTCGACCCAAAAATTAAAAAAAAAACGTAAAAAAATAACAATTTTTGAAAGGCATTTTAGGGCACTTCCGGGATGTTTAGCGCATTAAAATGGCATGTATTGTGTACATCGTCCCTTAAACTATAAAATGGCGGTGAAAAACTCAAAAAAACTGTATTAGTTTGCGAGATACAGGGTGTTTTCCACAGCATGTTTTCAAAATTTCCAAAAAAGGGCGATGTTTGAAGGGCATTTTAGGGCACTTTCAGGTTGTTTAGCGGATTAAAATGGCATGCATTGTGTAGAGCGTCTCTTTAACTATAAAATGGCGCTGAAAAACTCAAGAAAACTGTATTAGTTTGCGAGATACAGGGTGTTTTCCACAGCATGTTTTCAAAATTTCCAAAAATGCCGATGTTTGAAGGGCATTTTAGGGCACTTCCAACCTGTTTATCGCATTAAAATGGCATGCATTGTGTAGAGCGTCTCTTAAACTACAAAATGGCGGTGGAAAACTCGACAAAAGTTAATTAGTTTGCGAGATACAGGGTGTTTTCCACAGCATGTTATCAAAATTTCCCAAAAATGCCGATGTTTGAAGGGCATTTTAGGCCACTTCCAACCTGTTTAGCACATTAAAATGGCATGCATTGTGTAGAGCGTCTCTTAAACTACAAAATGGCGGTGGAAAACTCGAAAAAAGTTTATTAGTTTGCAAGATACAGGGTGTTTTCCACAGCATGTTTTCAAAATTTCACAAAAATGCCGATGTTTGAAGGGCATTTTAGGGAATTTCCAAAATGTTTAGCGGATTAAAATGGCATGCATTGTGTAAAGCGTCTCTTAAACTACAAAATGGCGATGGAAAACTCGAAAAAAATCTATTAGTTTGCGAGATACAGGGTGTTTTCCACAGCATGTATTCAAATTTTCCAAAAAGGGCCATTGTTTGAAGGGCATTTTAGGGCACTTTCAAAACGTTTAGCGGATTAAAAAAGAATGCATCGTGTAGTGCGTCTCTTAAGCTACAAAATTGCGGTGGAAAACTCGAAAAAAGTTTATTAGTTTGCGAGATACAAGGTGTTTTCCACAGCATTTTTTCAAAATTTCCAAAAAGGCGATGTTTGAAGGGCAGTTTAGGGCACTTCCAGGTTGTTTAGCGGATTAAAATGGCATGCATTGTTTAGAGCAGTCTTTCCCAAAGTGGGCGATAACGCCCCTTGTGGACGCTGCAGGTCTCAAGGGGGCATTCCTGTATTTGAAGGGCATTTTAGGGCATTTCCAGAAAGTTTAGCGCATTAAAATGGCATGTATTGTGTAGATCGTCTCTTAAACTATAAAATGGCGCTGAAAAACTCAAAAACTGTATTAGTTTGCAAGATACAGGGTGTTTTCCACAGCATGTTTTCAAAATTTCCAAAAAAGGGCGATGTTTGAAGGGCATTTTAGGGCACTTCCAGGTTGTTTAGCGGATTAAAATGGCATGCATTGTGTAGAGCGTCTCTTTAACTATAAAATGGCGCTGAAAAACTCAAGAAAACTGTATTAGTTTGCGAGATACAGGGTGTTTTCCACAGCATGTTTTCAAAATTTCCAAAAAAGGGCGATGTTTGAAGAGCATTTTAGGGCAATTCCTGGTTGTTTAGCGGATTAAAATGGCATGCATTGTTTAGAGCGTATCTTTAACTATAAAATGGCGCTGAAAAACTCAAGAAAACTGTATTAGTTTGCGAGATACAGGGTGTTTTCCACAGCATGTTTTCAAAATTTCCAAAAAAGGGCGATGTTTGAAGGGCATTTTAGGGCACTTCCAGGTTGTTTAGTGATTAAAATGGCATGTATTGTGTACATCGTCCCTTAAACTATAAAATGGCGGTGAAAAACTCAAAAAAACTGTATTAGTTTGCGAGATACAGGGTGTTTTCCACAGCATGTTTTCAAAATTTCCAAAAAAGGGCGATGTTTGAAGGGCATTTTAGGGCACTTCCAGGTTGTTTAGCGGATTAAAATGGCATGCATTGTTTAGAGCGTCTCTTTAACTATAAAATGGCGCTGAAAAACTCAAAAAAACTGTATTAGTTTGCGAGATACAGGGTGTTTTCCACAGCATGTTTTCAAAATTTCCAAAAAAGGGCGATGTTTGAAGGGCATTTTAGGGCACTTCCAGGTTGTTTAGCGGATTAAAATGGCATGCATTGTTTAGAGCGTCTCTTAAACTATAAAATGGCGGTGAAAAACTCAAAAACTGTATTAGTTTGCGAAATACTGGGTGTTTTCCACAGCATGTTTTCAAAATTTCCAAAAAAGGGCAATGTTTGAAGGGCATTTTAGGGCACTTCCAGGTTGTTTAGCGGATTAAAATGGCATGCATTGTTTAGAGCGTCTCTTAAACTATAAAATGGCGGTGAAAAACTCAAAAAAAGTATATTAGTTTGGGAAATACTGGGTGTTTTCTACACCATGTTTTCAAATTTTCCAAAAAAGGACAATGACCTTAAAGAAAGTGTATTAATTTGCGAGATACAGAGTGTTTTCCTCTGTGTGTTCTCAAATTGACAAAAAATGCCGTTGTTTGAGGGCATTTTTGAGTACTTCCAAAATGTTTAGCGGATTCAAATAGCAAGCATCGTATAGTGCGTTTCCTTAACTAATAGATTAATGCCATTAATTGATTTGAATTGTTGAGGCACTTACATGATGAAACTCCATTACTATGGTAGAAAGAAAGGGTAAACCTTAAGGGTAAGATGAATGTACATCTGCCTGATGATTCCACAGTGTGACGAAACATGTCGCAGAGTGTTAAAAGTTTTTGTGAAACCCTTAAGGTTTATCCTTTCTTTCTACGATATTAATAGATTTAACTAATAGATTTGCAAATAAAAAGAAGCGTTATGTTTTTACAGCAAAATATACAAAACATTTTATGTTGTGTCTTAAAAATATATTCATTTATGTGTTTAATTCAAATGATTAAAAATTTATATAGATACAACATAGCATATCCGAGTAGAAAAACATGATTTTTGTTACTATGGTCTAATTTTGGCTGGAGACGGCAATTGCGTTATCAAATGGCCTATATTTGCCGTTCTAAAGTTATACGTGATTTATCCAAACGTCGGTGCATGCAAAAATAATTTGCCACTGTTCGAGGCACTGATAACGCAAAACAGCGTTCACCAGCATTTGGCGTGTGCGTGAAACCGAGTTAAATCGAACGGGAGGAGCGTTTATTCCGTCGTACTTAAGTCATACCGTGCCGTCGAGTTGAGTCAGTTGCTAGCTGACCTGCGAGTGCGTGGAATACATACAACGTGGAGGTAAACTGGTTCGAAACAACTAGATTCCAGCTCCTTGACAATCATCTCGGCAATCTACCTGATTGCTTCGAACTTATAATTCTTTTGTGCTAAATGTAAGTATACGCTGCAATTCATTGCGAGTTAATTGCTTCAGTTCAAGTTTTATTTTAAATACAACGCCATTATTTATATTTCAACACTGCCGTATGGTTGTATCGAAATATTTTATTGCCGCTATTCTTGGAATGGCTATAAACCTATAAATTTAGTTGTTTACCTCTGAGACGAAACTATTTGCTTTAAAAACAAACAAGATTATATTTGCATAATACAAATATAATGTTGTTGAACTTTGGACTAGCGACGTCAGTCTATGGAAAATTATAGTCGGATCTAATATGAGAAATTGTCTGATTAGATTTTACCTTGAGACGCGAGACGGCGTCGTCTAGAGTCGGGTAAAAATGATTTAAGTATGTTTGAGACGTCGGATATTTTACATTTTACACCTACGTTGCAGAAATAAGCGTCGTTTGCCCTTGCGGCAAGTTTTCCTCATCAGTTGGCAAGAAGTAAAGGAATGATACATAGCTCTGGAGATTGTCTTGGCATCCGCTACCGTATCTGCAATCTGCACCAAACGTGGAAGTGGTTGCACCAGACCTTGGACGTACACGAATATCTCATCTCTATGACCGCAGCTCATAAAAACGTCGACTGCACCAACGCCCAGTAGGACTGTTCAACATATAATTCAACGACCTACAAGGCACAACAGCTACAATCTACAATTCTTTAAAAATCTTTACACTTGTGTGGTTTATAGACTGATTATTATATTTTCTTGACTAAAACAATGGCGTTCCTTCAACGCATGCGCTCGGCTGTGCGGCCATTTGCTACTAATGCTCGCTGTATTACGGGCCCAAGAGATACGGTCCAGAAAGCGGTTTTCATTTCGCAGTCCAATGACGTCTACACCAATCTAGCATTGGAAGAATGGCTCAACCAGAACATGGACTGCAGTAATCTGCACGTCATGCTGTATTACAAAAATGATCCCTGCGTCGTGTTAGGGAAAAATGGAAATCCGTGGCTGGATGTTAATACTTCAGGTGTGGCCTTGGCGAGGCGACAAACTGAGGGGGGCATTCAATATCATGATCAAGGTGTCATGAATCTTACATTTTTCGGACAAGATGTGCCACAGACTTATAATCTGAGCCTCCTGTCAAGGGCAATGTTCCGGAAGTACGGCGTTTCAGTTGAGCACAATGGCGAAAATCTGAGTTTTTATGATAAGCAGGTTTGTGTGCCAAACCGGAAGTTAAATTTCTTAAATTAATTTGTATGGCATTATTAGGTCTCGGAAAGCGGATCTATTGTAGAAGTGGAACACGCTCGCAATTCCTATCAAACGTGCTCGTTGTTTGTGGACGTCGACAAGAAAAACTCTTCCTATTCACTGGGAAAAGATAAAGTAAGTAGTGATAACCTCCCGAGTTAAAATTATCCATATTTAAGTGTTGTTTGCTTTGGTTATCATGGGTTATGTCCCCTCCTGTATATTTATTTCGTATGTAAATAATGACCTCAAAAGTGAACTTGGTGTTTGCCACATCACGCACACAAAATGTGATCACTTTCACATTATCTCATGCTAAACCTGTTTATAATTTGTTTAAGATTTTGTCTCGCCGCAATATCATGAATCTGTCCGAGATTGCACCATTGGCAACAACCGATGGGTTACTCTCAGCAATTGGTTGGGAATTTATGCGCACTCCTGTCGGCACCCTACAAGATGGTGGTGAGGCATTCGCACGCAAACAGCGCGGTTTTCAGATGATCAATCCCACTGATGATTGGTTCCCCGGCTTGAAAGAAATCCGAGATCGTCTGGTTCAGTGGGACTGGCGTTTTGGTAGCACTCCCAAATTCTCCATCTTCCGCACTTTCCAGGTTCCCTCTCCATTGCTCACCAATCCATCTGAATCGAATGAATTGCGTGTGAAACTTGACGTCGAACATGGTCGTCTGGCGGATATCTCTCTAGTGGTACCGCCCGGATTGCTTACCAGTGGGTATACCGGAGAGGCGCAAATCATCACCGATATCAGGGGACAGCAATTCTCTGCGGAAACATTGAAGAAAATCGAGCATTTCCTTGGACTTGAGAAGTGTCACAATGAGCGCGAAAAGTTCGTCACCGAATGCGTCAAGAAAGCAATGGTTATTTGAAAAGATTAATTACATTAATTAATTTTAGTCGTTTTATTCAATAGACATGTGATGGGTAGTATTTTAGGTTTAACTTTAGAAACACACGAGAAACAAAAGGAATTCTTATTATTAGGGTTAATTTGTTTATTTTACTGGCATTGATTTAGTAATTTTTAGCTGTTGTGCCTTTGTATCTTTTAATTGCTTAGTATTAAACTATTATAGCTTATACCTGTTTCTATGTTAAGAGTCGCGTGTGGTGATATCGGGGCGGCATGCAAACACTCGATACTGCCGCCGCCGAGTTTTCAGTGCGTTTGCGAGCTGCCAGAGCAGCAACGTTTCGATTTTTGTTGCCTTGTTCGTATATCGACCGCTTATTATTATTTTGATGTGTGTTTGAGCGGCGCGCGACTTCCAAGCAATAATGCTTGTCGACGACGTCGCCAACTATCCCAGTACGAAATCAAACAATCTCCTTAAAACAACTCCCAGTGTCCTGGACTTCAAAACATTACATTCACACAATCACACAGTGAGTATTTACCTACATTGATGATGCTATGTTATGTTATGTTATGCTATTATTATGGAAATTATTTATTGGCGTGCGATAAAATCTGACATAGATTTTTCCACAAACCCCATTCTTATTGGTTGCTATTTGTAGTGACTATTTCTTGTACACGCGTAAACTTGCAATAATGTATGTAAATAGGCTGTTCATTTGCAGCGATGAATTATGGCGAGGTCGACGCAAAGCGGCGGCGAAAAATTGCGGGCGAACGCACCCCGCCGATTTTATTGCGGCGGCGTCTTAGCGCACCCGAGACGATAATGCGAAAGTAAGTCCAAGGATTTCTCCTCGCTGGCCAAACCCTTTTCTCGCGGCAGTAACTCATTATCGACGTGCACGTTGTCGGAGAGAGTTTATTTGCACACGCAACGCAACCTAAAGTTACTTTAGAAAATCATTCCTTTCTGCAATACAATAAACAGTAGTGACCTAGATTTTACAATATTCCTGGAAAAATGTCTGACGATCTGGAATCCCCACTTACCAATTGGTAGTCGTATCAATTTCAAACGTATGTAGAAATGAATAAATAAAATCTGTGTTTGAATTTGCAGGCATCTACTGGCGCAACAAAGATCTTCCTCCCAAGACAGCCAAAAGTCCTCCGATTCGGACACTAATGCGAGTTGTGCAAGTGATTCTAACTTAAATAAACGCAGACATCCCGACATTCGGAGATCAACTTTAATGAAACGTTTCTGGGAAAGTTCAAAGGGGAATCTAAATGTGCCTTCGTTTCCATCTTCATACGCAGAATGGCAGCACGGTTCCTACAGATCAAAGGCTGGTTCTACGAAAAGTTTACTCAACGATTCACCGAAACACGTGCGGAATTTACCACGACGCCTTTTATTGCCCGAATCGCCATCGGATACAAGTTTTGCAACAAACGTGCCTAAATCGGAAGAAGATTCATACGTTGTTTATTCTTCTAGAACGGACGCAACGGATTCTTATCCCCTCAGCACACGGTCAGAGAGTGTTAATAATAATGACGATAATACATCAAGTTCTAATATGGCACCGACACCCAAACGGATAGTCCAAGCAACTAAGGCTTATCGGATCAATAATAATGGTATTAATGACGTTACGAACACAGCAGATATTCCGAATCTTCCAATTAAGTACCAGTTAACCATTGGTGATAATGAAAAGCATGTTGTATCAAATGAAAATCAGCGAGAAGTTGGCAAAACAAATTTAAACGTGATTACAAACGTGCAACTTAGTCAATCAACATTGAATACAATATTTAACCAGGTGATGCAGGACGTATTGCACAGTCCCCCACCAAACCCCGAATTGGTGGATGAGAATATCGTTAAACAAAAAGCATATAATTTCAAACTGAATTTAGATCCTAATGAAAATGCAGATAGCGATCAGACGAAAACTAATATAGAGCAAAAATGCATTAGCGAAATTAATGTGGGTAGTCCTTATAAAAGTCCTTCGCCTGCAGTACCTCGTTTATCAGCGCTTCCACGAACTAGTTCAATGGAAGTAAATATATCTTCGAATGATTCTTTAGATAAAGATTCTGACACTAGTTTGGTGGATAGTTTGGATGACCCATCGTCGCCACGAGTTAAAATAAAACGTCATACAAATATTAATATTACCAAAATAAATGATAGCGAAGTTTTGGGAGATGGCGAGGAAATTATCGAACAAAAGGAAACGAAGAAAACTATTAAAAAATCATCAGTGTTTTATATTCCTATTGATAATACCGACAAGTCTGAATCGGATTCACCACACGTCGTATCAAATTTGCTTCCTAGTAAACTGAAAGAAAAATTACTACAACGACAGATGAAACGCGAAGAAAAACGTTTGCAAGAGAGGATGAAAGCTTTCGATATTGAGAATGGTAATGCGAGTGCTTATTTTTCGACAAGTCCTGAAACACCATTACCATCAAAGAAAAATACGACTAGAACGAGCAAAAAAGCTAAAACAACTTTACCACAAATTGATTTGTATAGAGATTTTAATAAGAGTCTACGCGCCAACTATACGCAGAGATCCCTCAATAGATATCGTGAATCGGTGGAGACGACCACGAACAGCCGCAAGTCGTTTATGCTGCCGAAATCTCATACCAGACAAAACACTTTACAAAATCAAGGTAAACAAAAACAAAAAACAAAAAGTTCTTCCACCAAAGAATCAGCAAAACATATAGAGATCCTAGAAATCATGGAAATTGTAGAACCGGAACGTGCCATGCACCTGACCCCAAAGTCAAAGTCACGAATTCCCATTTTTCAACACGCATCCGGCACAAAATTACCGAAACTGAGGCCGAAACCTACGTTCCTTGACTTTGGAGAGGTGGGACAACCCGGAGACCCAAAGTTGGATCAATTAATAGCTAATATATTAATAGACACTTTAAACCACGAAGATATAAAGGATTTAAAGGATCGCCCACGGAAATCAAACGTAGAAACCGAAAAAATTCAAGCCGCAACCGCCTCTAAGGAGCAAAGCAATAATAATTCCGGCTTGATTGAACAAGCGGCTGAAATTCTCACCAAACAAGTCTTAGGCAATAATAATCTTGACAGTCCGCAACTGACAGAACAAGTAGGCCATCCTCAGGAAGCGGAAAATATTCCACAAGGCTGGATAACATTCTATATGTTGCAAAAGACGCAGTCGCCCGATAGTACGTCCGATGAAGGTACCAATTTTAGTAAACTCCAACAATAATTGACCAATATACAAAAAATAACAGTAAAAAAACACCAGTTAACAACAACTACTCGTAGTACAGTCTCCTTGCATCCAATGCGCACCGTAGTTTTTGTTTGCTTTCTCTCGTATCTGCCACAGAATATTTCTACAGTACAGACAGACAGTAAAGTGTAATAGAACCGCCATGACAGCATTAGTGGTTTGATTTAGGAGTGAAAACTGCAAACACTGCAACGAAAGGCACGCAATACTCGACGTGTGACGCCGATTCAAAGATGCCGAAAAAATATAGACTACGACGAAAGACTCAGCAAGGTTATAGAATTGTGTTACAATCTATTTTTCAGCTGAACAAATGTGTATTTAATAAAATATTAACATTTGCAGATGGTTGGAGTGTTACATTTAGCAATAATCATGACGACGAAGTTGAAATGAAGTTTAAATTTCCTTCGTTGAGTTCAAAACGGCAAACGAGCAAGAAATCAGGCGAAAAATGTAAAAACCCAGGTAAAACATTTGATATTTCATGTTTTTTCTATGAATAACATTATTTTTGGGTATTCTAGGTTTAAACTTTGAAGATGTCTGTGATAACAATTTACAATCAGAAATTTACAAGTCGAAGCAATATTTAAAAGTGCGTATAGATTGTTAAACTTGATAAGTATTTATTTTGTTAATTTTCTTTTAGAATCCTGCAAATGTAAAAAATCGTAGGCGTCAAATATCTCTATCACCACGTGCGACAAAAACAAGTCGTCAAAGGACTATGCTCCATCGGCAACATCACGTTCACAATTCATGTACCGAAGCGGATAATATCTCACATATTCTGTCAATCAGTGGAAGCGGGTTCAATCAGATCCGGCGTTTGCCACATTCCCACATGAATGATTTATTATTGAAGAAACTGTTTGCAAAGTGGCGAGGACAGCAAGGAGTAGATGCTAATAACGAGACCGAAGTAAATGTGGCTCAACACTAGTTGCTAGTGAAATATATTTGTATATTCCTGCCGCAATCATAATAAAATATTTTGTCTACTTCCTTATCCTTTTGTGCCGTTAAGCGCACTTGATACTTAATATACATTTGCGTATTAATTACAGCGGGATTACCTCCCACAGTTTCTGTAAAGTGTATCCCTCTTTGATGGTCTCGATGGCAAAACCCAACTCATCAGAGTACACAGGTAGTCTGTCCTTGGCATGCCCCTCATCTGCCAAGTATGCTGTTAACACATTGGTCATTTCTCCTTTGGGTTCTTCTACTTCGTTGAATTGATCGATGATTAATTGGGAACTAGGTGCTTCCGGCTGTGTTGCTTGGGTCCAATTAAATTCCACGCCGTAAATAGGGTCTTTTGTGTACACAGAGTGTAAACTAGCCAATTCTCGAAAGATATTCTTCAGTTTATCTTCAGGATCAATACGGAAACCTAGCACGTATGATCCGCTGGTAATCACCAAAGCTGTTCCAAACTTAGAGTCTCGGATCTTAATCTACACGTAAAAGTTTCTTATAAGTTATCTAATATTAAAAATGAATTACTCTACATACCGATTCTATTTGTAAATAGGGTAAAGAAATGTTGAAGCCTTCATTCATATCTGCAAACCATACGATTCGGACGTTACTTATGATAAGAGTACCAAGACTGCCTTGGTCACTAGAAAGATTCCACACTCCATGCAATGTCGTAAAGACTTGCTCCAGGGTAAAATTTTCAATTGCTTGTTTTGCACGACCGCTCCACGTAGCTTTAATTCACGGTATAATTTTGAAGACATGTATGCTCTACAACAAACGTTTACAAATCCTTTCACCTGCACTATTTTAATTTATAGACACCTACTTATGAACACCCATCACTGAAGTGAAATGCCGCATGTTACCCGGAATCAAATTCGTAAATATAAATTCAAAACGTGTGTTATTCGATGAGGTGAGAAGATGAAGGGCTTGTGTTGTCCCACGCAACTTCTAAAAAGTAAAATAATGTAACAAATGATCACAAATTGTGAACTTTGGCGAACTTACCGAGTTTACCACTTTTGTACTAATGTTCAAAATGGTATTATAACCAACAGCTAAAGCAGAAAATAAAATTTTGCAAAATAGTTTAATTGTGTAGCTATCAACTTACTTAGATTGACACGTGGGCTTCGAATTGAATGCCACAGGACTCGTAAAGTTGTAATAATCAATCTTCCACGGTCACCTGCATTTCCTTTAGTATCTTCCACGCTATCAAGGCGATCAACAACTTTTTCACCTGATTTTAATCGCATTTCACTAAAATTGCAATAGTTTACATCTTATTAAATAGTTTAGAATGAAAACTTACGAAAATGGTATATCAAAACGTATTTCTTTGTCTTCCCATGTGAGCGCCATTTTTAGTTTTAAATTTCTGCTGTTATTTTGTTTGTATCCAGCAGCAGCCAGTAATCGATCAATTTTCGCTCATGCGCGTTTGAAACCAGCGAAATTGATTACTTGACTTGCCTCACAACAAACCAAGGAGAATACATTAAAATAATGCAAAGCGCGAAGATACAACGCAACAATTATATATCTACATAGATAACTGAAACTAGGTTATTCCGCAATAAAAGATTACACGCTTTCAAGTTCTTTTATTCCTTTTTGCATATGGATTACGTACACCTAAAACTAAATAATGTAACTGTTTATTTCTGCGATGTCGAACGTTTTTTTCTGGCTGTGTGTAAATGTGTGGGAGTGTATCGTTGCATGATATTAAATATACTTAGCGCGTTCGTCGAAGTGAACCATCAATCAATCAATCAATCAGTATATAAGTAAGGATAATTGTCATGCGTATTTACAATAAACATTTGTACATCATCGTTAGCGTCGTGAGCAGTGAGCGGGCGGCGACCTTCTTAAGAAACAATCCGATTGCGGGAAATTCGTAAATGCCATAAATTTCACTCGTTCGTGTTTGACAACAAACACAGAATATTTTACAGACAAACGAAAATCAGAGGAGTACCAAAGCCATATGTGCACAGCACCGTTTTTAAAACTAGAAATTATAAACTAATACAATTCATACGATCGATTCGTATACTTAACACCGTTTATTTATATTCAAGTGGCGGTGGGTAAGTGTATGTATGTCGTGTGGGTGTGTGTGTGTGTGAGTGAGAGGCATGGAATAAATAAATTATGATCAAATCGAGGTTTGTGATTGAACACCAAATGATATTATAAGCATCTTGAGCTTATTGGTCCAATTGTGCCATTTGCGCACATCAACTGTTGTCGGGTTTGAGGTTGGCGAGAGCCCCCTCGACGAGTTTCTTGTGTTTGCCGACCAGTTCGGGCAAGTCGTAGGCGATGGCGACGTCCAGCTTGTTGATGGGGCAGCCGCGGAAATAGGTGCAGGTGGCGGACAGTTGCTGGAAGTCATAGACTGGATTCAAGCGGAAAAAGTCGCGATACACGTCGGGGTCGGGAAGATCGTAGCGGGATATGTTGGTCAGGGTAGAGAGGCCCTCGTAGATGTGGTAATCCTGGGGATGTTCGATGATTTGTTCGGCGACCTGCTTCTTGTTGCCGAAGACGGATTTGTGGTTGTAGTAGGTGGTCAGGTAGCAGTCTACCATCTTGGCGTGGTTGCGTACGCGCACCTATAAATAACGCAAAGGGTCAGATGTGACTAAAAGGTCAGTCTGATAGCAAGGGGGTAATCGCTCTGATCAGTTCATATCCGGCTGTCTGGGCGTTGAACGATCGCTCGCAGCGATTAGCGGCAATTTCACGCTTGTGATCATGCAATCGCGCCATTTACTCACCGCGAATCTTCGCGCACTGGAAATCTTGTTTTCGATCCGCTTGTCGACGGCGGAGCGCAGGTCACGGAGGAAAGCGCGCTCTTGCGCCTGCAGGAGGCGGACGGGTGCCCATGTCTCATAGGGGCGCGACCATAACGACGTGGTGTACATGACGGGCGGCTGAGCGGATGACATTAGCGGCGAGATGTTCCAGATCAGCGCGCTTTGAACACGCATCAGTTCCTCGGGCTTGACTTGATCGGCTTTATTTAAAACGATGCGCGTCTAAAAATATACGACAGTGAGCCAAAATTAGAACGCAACCGGCACCCCACTGTGCGTACTGTCAACCTGCCAAAACGATTATTAGGCCAAGCTCACCTGATGCTCTCTGCCCTTCAACTGGTCCAAAATTGCCTCGGTTTCTGGTCCAACGTCTAGTTTACTGGGATCGTAGACGAGGAAGATGATATCCGCCCTGTCGATGAACCATTGGCAAGCGTCGTTGAAAGGAAACACGCGCGACACCTGCTTGCGCACTTCGAGAATTCCCGGAATCTCAACAATGTTGATCTGGAATGACAATCATATAGCTACATTTTACGACTCGGACTTTCGCGTACCTTTTCTAAGAGTTTGTTGGGAAGCTTTAGGCCTCTGAGTCGTTCTTCCAAACCTTGGCCAAACTTCTGCAAGCCAGCAAAGGTAAAGTCCGCTGCAAGTTGCGTTCCATCCAAAACCTCGGGTTCTTTACCGTGCATCACCAGGTTAAAGTAAGCAGGTGATGGTTCCGCACCGGTTCGTAGTGAAGTGGCATTATATTCGTTATCTAGCAAATAATTGACAATTGATGATTTTCCACCGCTCCAGGGGCCCATGAACACCACCAATGGCTTGGAAAAAATTTCAGAGTCACCAAAATGTCTATTGCTTAAGTCCCTGTATTTATATAAAGTTTCCAACGGTTTAATCGCGTTCTCGTACAGTCTTTTCAGATCTTTCAATGTCACTTCGTTAATTTTGTTGACGATTGCTTCTCCCTTATCGTTCGAATCGTCCAACTTGAGCAATTGATCAATGTGGTCACGAGGACGCAAATTATCGGGAATCTCAATATCTAATGTTAAGTCTTCTTCGGGAGCGGCTTCTTTCGATTCTTCTACTTCGGATGTTTCTTTTTCCTCTGCTGCGCTAGGTTCTGGTTCTTGTACTGCCTCTGAGTCGACTGTTTCCTCTTTCTCGGTGGGTTTCTCATCTACTTCTTTGGCCTCAGCACTTTCAGGTTGCACTTCTGGTTCACTTTCTTCAGCGGATGGTACTGACTCACCACTCTCTTTGACGGATTCTGTTTCCTGGGATGTAGCTTCAGGCTGCTCTTCTTGTTCTTTTACAATTTCCTTTTCCTCCGCGGTTTCCTCAACTGATGTCGCAGCTTGTGCTTCTTGTTCACTGGCAGGCTCGCTTTCTGTTTCTGCGGATTTTCCATCTTCAATTTTATCAGTTTCTTCAGCCACACTTTCGACAGACTCACCATCTACTGCTTCAACGCTCTCTGTTTCAGTTTCCTGAACTTCAGGTTCAGCTTCAGTTTCAACTGATGCAGCTGGTTCTTCATCAGCTTCAGTCGTCGTTTCAACTGATTCAACAGCATCACCTTCACCTTCCACAGTGGAATCACTGGCTTCAGCTGGCTCTTCAATTGATTCTGTTTGCTCTTGTGTTTCGGTGGATTCAGCTTGAGTTTCTTGAGTTGTTGCTTCAACTGATTCTAAGTCAGTTTCCGCCTCACCTTCTTGAGATATTACGTCTTCTGCTTCATTCGTTTCTGCAGATGGCTCTACAACATCCTCCGTGCTAGCAGCTGCGTTGTCTTCAACAGTATTGCCCTCAATTTCAACTGATTGCTCTTGAATGTCTTCCTCGGCCGCCGGTGGTTCTTCGGCAGATTCTTGAGCGTCTGAAGGTTGATCCGCTTGCATTTCTTCAACCGACGCGCCTTCTGCATCAGTAGTTTCAGTAGTTTCAGTTTCAGACTCTTCTACTACTTCATTTTGAATCTCGATGTTTGTTTCGTCCTGCTAAAAACCATTATGTAAAAAGAAGCAATTTTAAACAAACAGTTGTGATGGAAAAATACCTGCTCCACACTTGCAGCTTCAGTTCCTTCCGTTTGTTCAGATTGTTCAGTTTGGTCGGTTTCGACTGAAACTCCGGTTTCATCGAGCTTTCATTGAAGTACAAGATCAGATAAGAGAAATATATGAAGTGGAATATTGACGTGTTACCTGTTGAGTCTCAGTGCTGTCGGTGATGGCATTGTCGCCTGTGTCGGGCTCGAGTTCTCCGGCATTCGCGTCGTATTCGGAGTCGTCTGCTACTATCGCGCCTTCTTGGTCGGGTGGCACGTCCTCCTTCTGCTGCTCCTTCAACGCTTTCTCGATGAAAGGCTTGCATTGCGAAGGAGCCTCCGACTCTTCCTCTCCTTGCACATCTTAACAAATGTATGACCTTTTATATCCACTATAATTCAGCAGGTTGGTAATTCGAGTGATGCGGTGACCGAATATCTTAAAATCCACGCATTCGGTGGCAAATGGTCTATATTTAAATCGCAGTCTAGGGAATCGGAATCGTGAAAGCTGGCAAAAGGCCGATGTCGTGTCGTCACACGCTCGTGGAGTGTGCAATGTGGTCGTGTGCGCGCGATAGTCCCAAATTAGATTTTACATTTTTAAAAATTACAAAACCTCACCGCTTACGCGTACGCAAGCGAAATGCGAGCGTGGATGCATCATCTCGCGAATTACCATATACGACGCTACGTCCACTAACAATCCTCGGACAATTATAATTGCTGGATAAACAAATTTTCAGGCAAACATATTACTTTTATTTTTAGCCGCATTTTCGACTCGCAACAATTTCCAAAGTTAATCCGCGCATTTGGATATTATATAATTCAGTCTCCGATACAAGTTATGAAAGCTTTCTTACTCTGCAAGGTAGTGGCGAGAAGAAGTAATCCCAACAAGAGGCACGTCGAGAACCTCCACGCTCGGCTCGTCTCCATAGCGGCGGCGGCGGCGGGGTGGGCGGCACGCTACACAAACACCTCGCGTCTCGCGCGTCTCACATGCACACCCGGCGGGAGAGACACTAGGCCCAGATTGAGGTGCTCTCCAAGATGCCCCGTTCGACGCCGACCTTGCGTACATATGTTTAGGCAGCAGTTCCCTACTTTTCGGGGGGCGGCCCACAGGTACCGCGATTGCGTGCGCGCCGGGTTTAAGTTTAGATCTCGCGCGCGCTGAGCTGTGTGAGCACAGGCACCAATGCCTTACATTCAAATAATTCAAGCAATTCGGAACAATCCTAATCATTTATTTGATATTAACATGTTAAACAAAAATTTGCGGTCGTTTTCCGCATAGCGTTGATCAAAAGTAAACCAAATCGCTAACGCACACCTCTTGCCCTTTTTGATGGCACGTACTCCATGCAGATTCTCACCGCCGGAGGTAAATCCCACCAGTCTACCGCACGTAGGCTTGATCATATGCTCTACATTACGGCCGAAATAGTCATTGGCGAAGAACAACTCTCCGCCCTGGAAATCACTGTTTAGGTACAAAATGGCGGTGTAGTCGCGCCACGTGAACGCTGGCCAGGTCTTGGGACAAGTACCATTTAGCTGGAGATTGCAGTTGTCTGCGTGTACCGGATGACTAAAATCGGTGCGGTTTAGAGCGGATGCTCCTGCAAATCATTTCCTGTCAGCACTGGCCCAGTTTTACTCCAGCAATATATGTGCTACACTTACCCGATTTCGCACTGCGGCACACGAGGTGCGTGTACGCATAATGCAAACGTTTGCTAATATCGAATTCAAACTCCAATGCCCTCTTTACGTTAGCGGTCACGTTCAACAGCAGGTTTAAGTAGCCGACGTCCAACTGCTGGAGCCGCCACAAATCGGCGGCACGTTTCAGAGACAACCCATCGTAATTTTCATATTGGGTGTGGGAGAACCCCGCCCACTTGGTAACCGTCACCAGGGATCGCAAAATAATCAGCGATATGCATTAGACTGCGACATTCTTCAGTGGTTGCAATTTTACTTAACGCAAACCTTTTAACCTTTGCTTTGGGGCGCAGCTGTTGAACACAAAACCGAGATTTAATTATTCGTAGACATAACAAATGCGGCTTATGACTATAGATAGGTTTTATTAAAATTTAATAATGATTATTTACAATTAAAGCACACATTGAAGTTTCTGCGGAAAATTAGTCACAACAACCATTGATGATCATTTCAGCCGCTTTCGGGGACTTTATGTGACTGCACCTGGAAATTAACGTGTTAGTCACACGGTTAAAATTAGAGCCCCAACTACGCCCCACAAAAATGCAATCGTTACCTCTTGAATCTGCTCCTCTTTGGCATCTTTAACGCTACGAAAGATTTTTCCCGCCTCAACAGCAAAGACGTTATTAATATAATCAATTATTTTTGATTCGTAAGTATGGCGATGGATATATTTGAGCGCATCACTTCGTGGCTGGAAATAACCTTTCTCAACCTTAGGCAGCGTGCTGTAATACTCAATGTTGTGCATCATCGTCTTGTCGCCGGGATAGAAAAGTAAGTAACTTGCTACAGCCTGGCATGCATCCTTCAGCTTACCGCCTGCGTAAATGTTTGGATATTAAAATATTTTAATTTTTGATATCTTAGGGCTTACTTTTGAAATATGCGTACTGCAAATAGTGGTAATGGCTCGGAAGTAAATCGTCGCGCTTCTCGCCGTTGAGCGTGCTTAATTTATCGTTGCACTTCCGTTTGCAGAATAACACGTGCGTAAAATGGTCTACAAATGAAACAATAAAGCTGTTTCATGGAAAACAATCAATGGCATGAAATTACTTGCTATGCTCGAAATAAAATCGTTGGCTGCTTGCGGGAAGGGTCCTTCGCATTGCGCTCGGCATTCCTCTTCCTCCTGCAGTAGGGACTCCAAAGATGCCTCCATGTTTTGAACGACTTCGTCCCAATGTTTTTCTTCGTAGGCGCGGGTGCCATGCACATACAAGTATACATAATCCTTAGCTTCACGGTTGATGACATCGCTTCCGGCTAAGTTTGCTTGGCTGGCGTAATGTTGAAGACTGGCGAGGACCCCGGCATCGTTTGGATTTACAACGAGATATGTGAATGCCGCGTTTGCGGCCTGTTGAAATTGCGCATTCTGGAAAAGAGATTTAATGTCGCTCCAGATGGCCCCGACCACATCGCACATCAAACTCAACTTACATGGGCATAACAGACATGTAAATATTCGTACGGTTTGCGTTTCTCAAAAATATCGATGACGTGATCGTCGATTTGATCCCAAACACCCAAAATGTTATTCTTTTGCTTGCATTTGAGAAGACACAGGGTGTTTTTGATGGTTCGCTCGTAATGCAGCAAATCCTCCACGTCTATCTTGTATAGCGGCTCATCGTAGTCGACTTCTGCGTGGCATTGCAAGTTGCAACGACGTAGTTTACCACTGTATTTATTGTATAGTTCCAAAGCGCGTTCCAATTTCTCAACGCAACCGTCGTAATTGTTATCTAAGTAGTCCTTGACACCCGTATCGTAGAGCAGTGCCGGTGACACATCCGCCCTGATCTCCACATGCGCAATCAGACAGATTATTAGCGTAAAGCACTCGAAAGACAACAAGTGCATTTTGTGCGTGTGAGAGGAGTAAAAGGCGCGCGCGCGCCAACGAGTACGCTCAGCTACGACCGGTTCTGAACTAAGTGTGCGCACATATGTGTGTGCGGGGGCCTCTGACTTCCGAAGATGTTATTTGACGCGCTCTTGGGGAAGGGAGAGCTTACTTAAGTGCCCTGAAAAGCCCGCCGCACGTGCGCAATGCGCGCTGGAAGCGATATCAGCAATAAGTCGATAAATACATTTTGGCGCAATGTGTGTATTTTGCGAAACTAAACACGCGGAAATAAAAACGCATAAAACACGGTGAGGCAAGCGAAAAACGAAACGCTTTTAACAATTATGCTGGAGCGAATGCGTCGAAATTATTCGAAACGTATAAACAACATTTTGCATGTAGTAAAATGCGCTTTATTTACTATTTCATTGAAAACGTCAACTAACGGCGCACAGCAGCTCACCACACTCTCGAACGAAAATAGCTGCTAGTCGACGACAATAAAACGGGTACCAGTTGAATAAAATTGCCGAGGCGCGCAAGCAGACGATGTGTCGGTGCTTTGAGCTTTATTGCTTTATTGTTTACCACTTATTATCGAACTGTGTCGCAGATGAAATGGATAGAAGTGGAAAAGTTGAAGGTTGTCAGAAATATTCGCAAATAATGATATGAATGCTTGGCACAAGTAATTAATTTATTTAATACGAATGTGCGTGCACTTTTCGCTTCGAGGACCAATCGGCCGTCCTATAATCCCGAAATTAACCATTTTTATAGCCGAACGAATACTTTTCCAGAAACTGCTCGTAAAAATGTAATTCGCACACGCAATCTTCGTGTGCGACACGGGTATTTGAGCCGAAACTAAAACCAAACAATCGAAAACACTGGCGTAAACATACACGCAGCTAAATTTAAACGCATCTGCACAAATTAGTCGGCTTTACACAACCTGGAACCAAGGTGTAATTACTTCCGAGCCCAGGTCAAAATCAGTTTTCCTTATTTCTGCTCGAATATCTCATTGGTTATAAGTAAAACATTCAAAAATGGCCGATTGCAATTCCATTTAGAAAACGCTCCACAGGCTGACCTTTAATGTGTACCTACCTAGTTGCATGAGCCTAACGTGTAAATTGCTACTGGTTGCTTAGGCTTGCTTCTTGGGCTTGCTCGATGGTTTAACACAGCGCACGCGGTATGCCGGAATCGATATTTTCCATAATTCATTAGGTAATGCATATCAGAACGGTGACCTTTTCCATGCACGACTGATTATGAGCGACCTTGATCGCGCCGGGCACGCTAGGGCCAACCAGAACGCGCGCCGCAGCTTAAGATCATTTAACTAGTTACCTAGTGTTAATTTCTAAATGCTTTGCAATTAATGCACCGAGCAGGGCACGGGTTAACAGCTTAACGGGTTTCTGTTATAAATTTAAAGCAAGATGGCCGATAGTCACGGAAAGGGACGCAAGTGTTTTAATTTAACTCCCGTCACGTAATTTCTAATTAATTGTTGATTGCTGATGGATGCAATTGCGGTTTTAACTCTTCGCTCGTCGAATGATTAAAATGTAACGTCCATTGTGCGCCCGCATTGCTAATTATGCGCCGCGTGTATTGAATTACTCCTTTGTTCGGTCGCATTTTGTCTGAGGTCGCTGGCGAGGTATAATGTAGGTATAAACATTTTCCACCTTCGGCGCGCGGACCACGTTTTGGTGCCGCGCACGAATCGGAGTGTATAATAATCTTATCGGAGCATGCCATCTCCGACGCTGATAAGGCCAAGACATGCCATGCTTTTCTACTTTTTCGTAGGCATATACCTTGGTATTGGTACGGTTTCTGAGCGCGCACGCACACACACGCCGCAGCAGTAAAAAGAAGTAGGTAGGGCAAAAATTGTTGAACGGCGAGCCGTTAATCTTAATCACGACGCGCATAAGGGTGGATGGTAACGATACTCGCGAAACTATGACGTGTTTCGTGCTAACATGACGTCAGCGGGGACGGCACCCCGCAAACTATTCCAGCACGTCATTAACTTTACCAAATGATGCTTAAAGACTACCTTCTACCTGCGATTTTCACAAATTGCTTTGTATTAATTGTAAATCGTTTATCTTTCGGGGTTCTAGTGCGAAACGGGCACAATGGCCACGCTGACACCGGGAGCAACATAAAAATCCCTCGCGATATGACGCAATTGGTCGCGTGCGAGCGTGCGAATAATATGCGCGGCGTCGCAATGGCCGCGGTGGCCCCACGAGGAGGTAATCGTTATTTTCTTATCAGCATCTCGTTTTTGCTCAGCCGACAGAAACTTGCTACCTAAATGCTCGCTGGAATCACTCGAACTACTCGAAACTACATGTACTTTGCGAATTCGTTTCTCTGGTTCAATAATTTTTCCGAAATTACTCGCTGCTCGCAATTGAAACTTTCAGCGCTGGTCAGAATTAAATATTTCAAACAGTTTTGCACGTTTACCTACGAGTGCAAATGCCACCGAGTAATTGGTCTTGCCGCTTCTGATTGGATGCTATATTTAAAGCAGCACACACATTGCTGGCATGGTTGTAATATGGTGTAACCCCCACCCCTTTCTACGGATTCATTAGAGTGTTGCAAGAATAAGCTGGAAAGTTAAATGTTTCGTTATGTGGGGGTAATGGTGAAGGCAACGCTTTGTATATGTGCCCTAGGGTTGCAAATATGGTGGTAGTAGTAATGGTAGGTAAAGAATTTTCCAGCGCACGCGTTCAATTCGCGCTCGCCGTCTTATCGGGCAGCCTTGAGGAGCGGTGGAACTTTGACCAGCGTTGCTGCCCTGGGTCACTTTGATTTTAGTGTTTCGAACTTAAACTTCGCTGGTGCGCACAGTGTTCGCCCCACGATCAGATCGTCAGGTTGTTGCGGAATTCCACTATTTCCATTATCAATTCGTAGAGTGCACACAGGGGCACAGACAGTCGCCGGGAAACATGAACGCTTTGTACGTGACAGTGTCGATACCGTTGCTACTCCTTCTCGCCGGATTCAATCATGCACATGGTTTGACAACTTTCGGCAAGACGCAGAGCAATAATAATGCGCCTCCACCACAACCGCCCGGTACGAACATCTCCACATTTCATTACTTTTTTTCACCGCACGCAATTTCCAAGATGGAATTGTTATGGTTATTGGTTTTAGCAAAACAAAACCTAATACCATTCGGTATCAGTCTGTGCATTTTAAGAGGGTTTATATTATGATCAGTTTAGTAATCTTTTGATACTCGCAACGAACGCACGATGGGATATTTATTGAAGTCTTTCCTGATTATTGCATGCATTGCAAGCGCGTTAGGTTAGACGCGTAATGTGAATCATTTTAATGCAGTTTGTTATCATTTTTCGTCTTGCAGCTAAAACCTGCACGAATCATACAACATGCAATGGCATCAATGGAGCGAGCTGCGTCCAGGATCCCCGTGACCACCACAAAAAGAGCTGTCTGTGCGGCGACAACGTGCCACCCCAAAACGGTATCTGCAAAGCCAACTATCGTGGTAAGTCCGAAAAGCCGAAAATACTTATTTAAATAGCGCAAATTTATGCAAATCGCATGCGGTGCGTATATCTAATTTAGGTCGTGACTGTGAAATATTTTGCGCACTTTTCACCCGACACTGAAAAACGCAATTAACTGCAATTACCTTCATCGCGCTGCATACTTAATAATCCAATTGCACGCTGCACGGCAAACATCCGAATTATTTGCTAAACAAACATTCGAAGACCTTTCCGTTCGTTCCAGTGGAAAAAGAAAAGGGTGCAAAATAATTAAAATCGATTTGCCCTCGACTCTCTTGCCACCACGACGTTTTTCGCTCGCAAAGCAAACGTTTGCATAATTTTACACAAAACGCACACGAAATTCGATAACGAGGAACGTTTTAAAATACTTAGCGACGAAGTGGAATTGTGCACATTTTTCGTGTGTCTTAATTTCTTCAGCGGGTAAACAATGATTAATTAAACGATAAGGCGCCTTTAAATAATCGCGGCTTGACTAATCAACCCTGCTGAAACAGCATAGAGGCGAAAATGGTGGTTTCTTGTTATTGTTCGATGTTCTCGCGATAAGCTTTGGCGCGCATATAAAATGCCGCAATGTTCACGCGCCGCAACAAACAATGCCTAGGCAATGCGGTAGCTTTTAAAAATACATTTTTCCAATTTTCATGGTGTTTAATTTCCTCGGGGGTCGATACTAATTTCTGCGGATGCCTAAATGTGGATTTGCTAATGCCTTTTCAAATCGAAATAAATCAGTCTGCTCATGAATATGGAGTGGCTATTTTTGGAACGCGTAACTTTTCTATCATATCTATTTCGATTTGCTTTCGCGTATCCGCTTCCAATTTGGGCATTTTTCGCATTATAGATGATTATCTGTATTTGTTTCAGGCCCGAACCATCGCTGCACGGAAAACATTCAATGCGTGGAAGGCGCTAAATGTGTGCCACTGGGAAAGAACCCGCCGCCGAACGGAGATAAAGCCTGTAAATGCATGGAGGGTCTCGTCGAAAGCCACAACATGTGCAACGGTATGCTAGTGTCAATTAAATCCCGCTTAGAGTGGGCGCAAAACTTTGCCGAATCGATTTGGTCGTTGTTCTAATTGTCAGCCCGTTTACGAGCCCGCGCACGAAATATTTCTATTAGGTCAATCCGTATGAATACTAATGACGCCACAACTGATTCTGCAAATTTCTATTTCAGGAGGAATACCGCTGAGCGCTCTCTCCGGATTGATCGTTCTAATGTCGGCCATCGCCAGGACATTACTCTTCAATTAATCCGAAACGTATTGATTATGGTTTTTGAGTTGAATTTTGAGTTGGACAAAAAAACTAGCAACTAGCAAACTAATTAACTTATCTCTAGTCGCCACTCTTGAAACGCCAATCATATCAAGTCGCTTTCTAGTTGAATGCAATGGGTGCTCCATGTAAGTAATGAATGCCTCGTAACAATCAACCTAGTCGTAAATAAATATACCTATTCACCATTTAAAAGTATGAGGAAGTAATAAGTAAACCTGAATTCTAAATATATTCATAAGCGCACTATTGTGGTTCACAACACACTGGCGAGTGTGACTAGCGAGTTAATGTTAAACGATACTGTACCATAATTGATATATACATATATATATTATCCAGTCTCACCGATTCGTCACTTTGAAATGATTTGCTTGGTTCCACATCCGATCGGATGTCGCATACACGATGAGCGCGCCCGAGCGCCCGGCCTTACGCAATGTTTCTTTCCGACTCAATATGCGCACGTGTGACCAATGTAATATATTTCGCCATCTGCGCTTTAGCAAACGTAAACCTCTAGCCGTAGACGCCAACCACGATGCATAATTTTCATATGAAACAACAACGAAATTCTGTACTTACTGTAATTTTATATGTACTGTGCATTGTTTATGAATAAAAATACGAATATAAACTACCCATGATGCTGCAACAAGTCAAACACCAGTGATAAACTCGGTTTCAGTTTCAGTTCGTCGAAGCTCTCGCGCAGAGAAAGTGAAAGCGTGTGAATGGAGCTAAAAATGAAACAAACAAACTCTCCTAATATATTGCTGTTGTTGGTCACTCAATTAAATTAAAGCGAGCATTAATATTCGAGCGGGCAGGTTTTTAGTGGCCGTCGCGGTCGAATTTGTTCCATTCGACACGCACTCGGTTTCAGTTTATGCCCTAGACAACCGCACAAGGAGGAGACTCGGACGGCAAACGGCTAGAAACGGAGAAACGATTACAAGACGACCGAGTACGCCGTCGACCACTGAGAGGTGAAGATCCTCCATCTTCTACCTGCGATCCTCTGCGGCCTAAATGTTTGCTTGCTAACGATTTCAAATGAACGTCTCTGTTTTGGGGCCAGTGATAATCGTGTTTGCTTTCAATGTGAGCGTCAACAAAGCACTCCAGCCAAGTGCGCCCAAAATGTAGTCGCATTACGACAACCACGTCCAGTCGGAAGTCTAGTCTAGTCATTGTGATATCAAATTAGCTGCTAGTGTAAATATGTGTGCGTGAGTACGTGCGTGTGTGTGTGTGATATGTTTTCGAAATGATGATGGACGTTGGAGCTCTGCGGCAATGGCTGATCGCGACCGCGTTCGTTCTCGGCAGCTGTGGCAATGTTTTCGCACTATGGATCTTGTACAAATCGGCGAAAACACGGAATGCCAAGCATGTGTTGATGCTGCGATGTTTGGCCGTCAACGATTTGGTCGCCCAGCTGGGCATGCTCACGTTGATGGTGCTGCCCAAGATGGTATCCATTCCGATTTATTGGATGTGTGTATTATTTGTGATGCTGCGCGCTTTTGGTTTGGGTTCTGGGTGTGTGGCGCTCGTGATGGCCATCGAGCGATGGCTCGCTTTGACTAGGCCATTTGTCTATCAACAGGTAACCACGTAACCGCGTCACGGCTCCCTAAAATTCAACATCAATTGAGTTGCACTAATTGAAACCAATCAATCGACCACTTGCTCCTAATTGATTTCATGTATCGTATTGTTTCATTGTGTTGCAGTACGTCACGAAAGTATTCCTTGGACGAACAATTTTTCTGTTGTGGGTGTTTGCTGCACTGTTGACATACACTCCGTTTTTTGGGTTTGGCTTGTTCTATGAGAACGGAAAATGTTGTCGCTATCGTCAAGCCACCGAAGTCTTAGACATCGTTTACGCCTATTTGTTTCTGCTTTTCGGTAATTGCATCGTCCTTATCATTTTCGATTGTGCTATTTATGTGTTTGCAGGAACAACTTTGTGCTTCTGCATCGCTTATTTCAACTCGCAGGTGTTTGTTGCCTTGAGCCGTATTGGGCGCAAACAGGAAAAGGTACTAATTCGACGCGTGAGTCGCGCGATCATTACCCAAAATGGCGTCAACCACAAAAATATCCCTACCACTGAGGAATTGGCCTTTGCCAAACTGATGGCATTTATTTGCATCGTATTCGTCGCATGCTGGATGCCTCAAATGGTACTTATTATAGTCGCATACCGACCACTTACTGACTGAATGTCTTGTTTTTCTATTACTTACAGATATCAATTCCGTTGACGCAATTTTTTCCGACAAGTAAATTTTGTGCGATCTTTTCGCGTATTGCTGATGTCTTGATGTGCGTTTACTTTATGCTGGATCCATACATTTATGTTCTACATCAGCATGTGGAAAAGACACGTTTTCGTATTGGTTTCACCCGTCAAAGGTCTTCGGAAAATGCTACAACTACTCCGAATAATACACCCACAACGGATTTACTCGAGAAGCCACGCTTTGATGTTCCCGAGACGGTTTAGTATCTTAAGGGAACTGTATTACCGCGCCAGCTACTGCTTAGAATTTTCATCATGATTACACAAATTGTCATCATTTCATTTACAATTTGGCGTCAGTGAGCTGGAGCAAACGGCGGCTTTGATGTGTCAATAAATTAAAATAAATGTTACTTACTAATAAATTATCCTACCTATACCTGTTTCTCCAGCAGTGCAGTCGCAGATCGCAGTTCTTCAGGTCCGTTCTCTACGTGTCATTTGGAAATAGATAAGTTTACGCAGGTTTTGTTGTCCGTTATAGCTCCTGTTTCAAATTTGAAACTTCATTTGCACCACGTGATATAGGCAACTAAGAATACACTAAATCAGCGTGTGCTTCGTGATGGTTGTGTACAGCACGCCCCAGCGCCGCGATGTCAGCCGAGCGCTAGCGACACCTGACGGTCGGTTTGGTTCGCTGTGGCGGCGAGTTCATCGTTCATGCCACTTGGTTCATTCGTTCGTTCATGCGCTGATTTCGTGTATTTCGTCGGTTTTGTCGTTTCGTCTGTCTAGTGTGTGGCGCGTGTGTGCGTGTGTGTGCGCGTGTGTGTCTAGTGGCCTTATGGGCGAGGGCTGGGCGACATCTCTGCGCCGTTATCGCCTTCATTGTCGCATCCTGCAGGCGTACGCCTGCTCCACTTGGTCCTTCATCACCACGCGCAACGTACGCCCGCCTGCGCAACCCACCCCTTCACCGCCACCCGCCAGCAACTGGCCACAGCGGCCGCCACAGGGCCACAGCGCCGCAGCACCACAATATGGATGTGAGTAGAGTGGAGTCGCAGCGAATTGAAGCGGCGGCCTTGTTGTGATTGCCGTCCAGGAAGAGTGGTAAGAATACAAGTGTTGGCTCCCGAGTGATTACCGTCTCCTACAACACCGGTGTTGATGTTTTAGATTTCAGCGCCTGCACTATGGGGAAGCTGCTGTCCAAGATATTCGGCAACAAGGAGATGAGGATACTGATGCTGGGCTTGGACGCCGCCGGCAAGACAACCATCCTCTATAAGCTCAAACTGGGCCAATCAGTGACGACTATCCCAACTGTCGGGTTCAATGTGGAGACCGTCACGTACAAGAACGTCAAGTTCAATGTATGGGACGTAGGAGGGCAGGACAAGATCCGGCCGCTCTGGCGGCACTACTACACCGGCACGCAGGGCCTCATTTTCGTGGTGGACTGCGCCGACCGTGATCGCATCGACGAGGCGCGCCAAGAACTGCATCGTATTATCAATGACCGCGAGATGCGCGACGCCATCATACTCATATTCGCCAACAAGCAGGACCTGCCGGAGGCGATGAAGCCGCATGAGATTCAGGAGAAGTTGGGCCTGACCCGCATCCGCGACCGCAACTGGTACGTGCAACCGGCATGCGCGACCACTGGCGACGGCCTCTACGAGGGACTCACGTGGCTGACAAGCAACCACAAGTTATAGCAGCGTGAGGCGCGATGTTTGTACATATATTTGAACATACGATTAATTAATTAATATATTAATAACTATATGTAATGTAATGCGTAGTGCGGATTCACGTAGGGACTCAACTCTTTTATTTTTGTATCTAATTTGCGACCCCGGGGATGCGACTTGCACCGTTTTGCTGTGTATATTTTTAATACTGATTTCTTGGATACGTATTGCAGACTTCAATATACAAAATTAGCTATATCACACATAACACACATCATCAGGCGCATTCTTCTGGTGCAGCTGCAGCGCCCGCTAAATTGGCGCACACTTGTTTTTTCAAGTCTTTCAGGATGGTCGACAGTGGTACTTTCATCTCGTCGTTTAGTTCGACTGTAGGAATGAAGGAGGGGTGCACGCGGTCCGTGCGGATTCCATGGTGGCGAAGAAGGTCCCCACTCCGCGGACTATGTGTGCACTCGGCGATGGCGTCGTAGTTGACGGCATGCTGTGAGGCACACCGCTGTGCAGCATCTAATGGAATTATATTGTTGTCTATCATGCACACAACCATCTGCAGGAGCTGCCCTGGATCCTGAACTTTGTCAATTGTACACGCGTGTACTTTATTCGCCAGGCATTCAATTTCTCCATGCTGGCAATGAAACTCTAACTTTCCATCAGGATTCTCCATAGTCTGTAAAATATCAGCCATGTGTACAAATAGCAGAAGACTATAAAAGTGAAATACTCACTCTTGCTTTTCCATAGGGTACAAGATCTAGTATAAGGTATTTAGACAATGCTAAATAGGTGGGCAGCAGCTCTCTGAGCATAAAATTGCGCGAATCTGAACACAGCGCCTCATAATAAACAGTCACTTTAACTTGTGAGCTGGCCTCTGCTTCGTTGAGCTGCTTTAATTTTTGTAGAAGCACCAATTCGCCGGACCCACCGCTATTTATTTCGTTTAAATCGCGCACACTATAGTAGTTGTATGTTTTCCACATTAACATTACACATACTAGCACTAACAAAACAGTTTTATTACGATTATTCATTGTACAATCTGTGTCGGTGCGACTGTTACGAATCGTTTTACGTGGTATCACTTAATTATTTTCGCAACTTCATATCGAATCAATTGATAACTCAACGAGCGAGTGCGCAGGGTGCAACCCATGCTTTTGTAGGTTATGAATTCTCAGTCTTACGATTTCAGGCGAACGTGTAACTTACAACGGAATGTTGATAATCATGTGTGCTAAATAGGTTTCTATATACCTATTTAAGTAGTTATTATTGTTTGGAGAAAGTGTATAAGAAATACTTTAATAAAGTAAACATGCTAGCAGCTGCGGCCCTTAGTGGCGCCATCAACGGCGTCCGCCTGTACTAAACACGTGAAGTTTCTGCTGCGTTTCTGCTGCTTGCATCTCGCAGGTAGAACAGGTTTGTTGTCATTGCAGGTTTAGCGTCGCCATGTAACGTTTGCTACGCGCTAATTGCCATGTGACCAGCTTCAATGAAGTTCCTCCAGCATTTTCGCTGGTTGAATCGAGTCAACCACAACGTTACCACCCGCAACGATTCTGTATTCGACGCGGGCCTGGACAACCCAGCCATGAACTTGCCAGAGCTGGACGATATCGACACCGCCGTCCTGCTCTCCACCTTCACATGTAAAAAGAAAAGCTTTAAAGTGTTTTTCCATAAAAATCAAATAGTCTGGGACCGAGTTAAAGCTCCTTTCGGTAAACGACATTATAAATGAGAAAACAATTGCACTAATGCTGTTTATATAATTGCAGCACAAACAAGAGTATCTATTGAGGATGTCATTTCTGTACGGCACACTGTCAAAAGGGGTGGTTATTGTGACCATGAGGAGGTTGAGATTAATCCAAACAGTTTCATCATTCACTATGCCACACTAGAGAGCAACAATTGCCTAAAATATGCAAATGTTGTATTTTCACACACTGATCCAATGCAGGTGCAATCATGGGTGAAGACACTGCAGAACTTTCTCAAAAGTAACACTAGTGGATTAGTTAATTCTAAGCTATAGTATGCTCATTTTGCAGAAATCGCGCGCCCTAAGAATATATTAATGTTCGTCAATCCATTCGGCGGGCGCAGGCAAGGAATAAAAATCAATCAAAAGATTTGTAAGCCGCTGTTTGAGATCGCGGGCGTTGAGGTGACTGTGATTGTTTCGCAGCGCAAAAATCAGATCCGCGATTACATCTTGGAGCACAGCATGGACCATTACGACGCAGTAGCGTGCGTGGGCGGTGATGGCACCGTCTCCGAGATTTTTAATGGTCTGGTGATGCGAGAATGTCGCGACCAGTGTATTGACATCGATGACGCCAACGTGGATCTGCCCACGCCTAAGATGCCCATTGGAATCATCCCCGGTGGCAGCACCGATACGATATCGTATTGTCTCCATGGCACGACTGACATTACTACGGCAGTGTTGTATATAATCCTGGGACAACGTCTGGGAATGGATTTGGTGTCTGTTTATGACCATCACAAGCTTCTGCGCCTGTATGCAAGCGTTCTGAGCTATGGGTATTTGGGCGATGTGATATACCACAGCGAGAAATATAGATGGATGGGTCCGCGGCGTTATGATTACTCTGGTTTCAAGACAATCATTGCGAATAAGGGCTACGAAGGCGAGATTGCTATCAAAGCGATGGATGATGCGCCAGCATCGCCTATTAAATGCGTTGCCGATTGTAAGGAGTGTGGCGATAGAGGTGATAATAGCGGTAAGCCACCCGAGGAAGCCTGGCGCAGCGTGCAGGGCAAGTTTTTTATGATTAGCGGCGCCAATATCAGTTGTTCCTGCGACCGCACACCGAATGGTATTGCACCTTTTTGTCATTTGGGTAATGGACAACTGCACATGGTTGTGGTGCGACACACTTCTCTCCTCAACAACCTGCGTTTGCTGCTGCGGCTAACGGACAGGTCGCGTGGCCTCGGCGAATTTCCCTTTGTCGAAGTGCATCAGGGCTCCGAGTTTTGCTTTCGGCCGTTGAACGCCACCAGCAAGTGGAATTGCGACGGCGAGTTGCAGCATGAAACTGAGATACGCGCAAAGTTAGTAGAAATTTCAAAAACCAACAATAACAACTATTCATAACTTTGTGTTTTATAGGGTGCGATGTCAATTGCTCACGGTGTTTGGCCGCGGCCGGCCGGACCAGGAGCCGGTGGTGCGGCGTTGCGGCGTTTGCTGTTAATTGTGTGCGGCGTTTCTATCTCAAATTCTCAATTTGGTTGTGGGTAGAATTCACGAAACGTGGTGGCGGCTGCTCTACTTGATTTCTTTTAGTTCCTTGGCTTTTTACATTCCAACTTTCACTCGAAACTTACAGAGTTACCTTCTTATATAAGTATTTATTGCATAGTATTGCCACTGGGCTGAATGTTTGAATCAGCGCATCAGTACCAAGTATTATCAATTTAGTTTTTTTGACACTACGCGCATTTAATCTGATGAGGTGTGATGATTCCAATCTGCTTCTCATTTAATATCATTATTTTATACAAGCGGACGAAATATAAAGATACATATTGTTGACACAACATTGAGACGTCTGTATTTTCTTATTTTGCATATGACTTGTTCTATTTGTTGACAAATTTTCCGGCTGGTTTTGAATACAACGGTTTAAAAGAAATAGTGGGTTGCCTACGCTTGTTTGCTTCTAATTTGCAACGTTGCCAGTTAGGCATTTTTGAGTGTTACACGCGTCACTGGAGGGGGAAGTAAAGATTTGAAATTGTTCCTTATTTTTAATTATCAAAATATGTGCCAAGTATTATGATGTAATTGTAGTGCCCAGAATTATACATTTTTTTAAATTCTTTTAAACCTGCACATGTCGCGATGTCACAGTCAAAACTTATTCCGATAGCGAATATTTGGTACGCTACGGCCGCAACGTTGGCAGCGTGGTATCACGGTACAAGATTTATTTTGTTTTTTAATAACTCTTATTGTGTCATGGCGGTTGCAACGGGCGCGTAGTTTTGCTTCTTTTGGAAACAAGACGAAATACACTTAACACTTCGCCGCCGTGTACTGGAAGAGTTCGCAATTGAGAGAGGGACGCCACGCGTCTCGTGCGCGTAGGAAACTTAGAAGCGTCGCAGGCTTTGGAGGTGACCCGCATATCTCAGTTGACGGTTGGCGCGGTACAGCGCACTTGCTGGAGAAGAGAACGACGTACCTGGTTTGTGACGGCATCCGCAAGTTCGCATATTCATCACCGCACACCCACGCTGTGTGGGTCGCACAAGACAAATAAAGACATGGTTTAGGTGCGTGTGCGCTAATTATCTAATAGCTGCGGTAATCGCAAGCAGCAGCGTCGCCTGGCAACAAGTACCTGTACACTGATGCAAACCAGAAACTCCCGCCGCTTCAAAGGGCTAAATATGAATCAGTCTGACGATGTTTTGATCAGTGCTGCAGAATTTATCAAAGGTGAGCAACTGCAAGATAGATATTATGTCTGTAATAAGATAATAAGCAACTTTTATATTTAATACTTCCAGATCGACTATATTTTGTTACAACAAAGTCACCTGATCAACCAAAGGCAACCACAAGCACTCACTATTTTTCCATAGAGAACAAACTCAACTATGAGAGTTTCTTCTCTGACTTTGGCCCTCTCAACATTTGTATGCTGCATCAGTACTGTAGCAAACTAAATAAAAAGCTCAATTCTCTGAAGAATAAAAAGATTGTGCACACCACCAATGATGATCCAAGGAACAGGCTAAATGCAGCATGTTTAATTGGTTGTTATGCTGTGAGTTATGCTGTGTTATTTCAGTGGTGTACAATATAATGATTGATATGATTTCAGATAATTTATTTGGATTTTACACCTCAGCAAGCTTTTGACACACTTTGTGCTAATAATAAGGATGCCTTTATTGAGTTTCGCGATGCGTCTGTCGGCGAACCATACACAATATCTCTACTGGACTGTTTGCATGGTCTGCACAAGGCCAAGAATTTTGGCTTCTTCAATTTTAACAATTTCAACCATTTGCAGTACGAATTTTATGAGGTAAGTAATGGGACACAGTATAAGGGATTTTGTGATGATTGCTTGTTTTGCTGCTGAAGCGCGTGGAAAATGGCGACTTGAATTGGATCGTTCCCGGAAAGTTTCTCGGTTTTTGTGGGCCCCACAACAAGAGCAAGGTTCTACACGGCTATCCGCTGCACGCACCCGAATTCTACTTCGGGTATTTCAAGCGATACAACGTGTCGACCATTGTCCGGCTGAACAAAAAGATGTATGATGCGAATAAGTTTGTTGGTGCTGGCTTTGAGCACTATGACTTGTTCTTTGTGGACGGCAGCACGCCTACGGACAAGATCCTCAACGAATTTATGAATCTGTCGGAGAAGGCGTCTGGCGCCGTCGCTGTTCACTGCAAGGCTGGCCTGGGGCGAACCGGTACGTTGATCGGTTGCTACTTGATGAAGCACTACAAGTTCAGGGCGCGCGAGGCGATAGGATGGATCCGCATGTGCCGACCTGGGTCTGTTATCGGGCACCAGCAGGTCTGGCTGGAGAGGTATGTGTAGTAGAAATAATACGCTCGTGTTAACATTGATTGATACGTTTGTTGTGTGTGGCAGCAAACAGGAACAGATGTGGAAGGAAGGTGAGCTGCATCGGTCGCGCAAGGGCTTGCTAGGCCCGCCCGTTCACCTCAAGGGCATCTATGCCGACATGAACAATCTCGGCATTGACGACGAGGTGATACTCAAAGTGGACACAATGAAGCTGCACGACAACCGGGAGGAGCGCGCCGCAGACAGGGAGGCGTTGATGACGCAAGGCGACCAGCTCAACCACATCAAGGCGATGCGGCGGCAGCAGCGCGGCGCGCTCGCCGTTCGGCCGTTAGTACCTGCCAACGGCGCACATCAAGCGCACCCCGCGCACCTCCATCACTCACCACCTGTTTATGCTTCTTGCAGCAGCTTCGAGCGGAAGGTGTTTCGCACCCGGGTGCTGGTCTCTCCGGTGGGCGGGCCGCCGGCGCTGCGCGGCGGTAAGATATCATCCGTCACCATGAACGTTAAATCACCCAGCCCCTCATCTACATCTCGTGTGTTGTTAAGCAAAAGGTGCGTATGATTCAGTATTAACACACCGTCGCATTAACACGACTCACCCAGATGATTGTTTTTAGTGCGTTGTTTATTGCTAGTGTAGCCAGAGTCTGTTAAATTGTTGTACTTGCAAATATGTAATTATGAAACCATTGTTGTTGATGCGAATTGTTGGTTGGGATTTCTTTCAAACCTCTGATTGTGTGTGGGCGTGTGTGCGCGAGCGTGTGTGAAGGTGGGCTATCGCTTATGTGTTGGCAGGAATGAAGACGCCTTGACACCGCGGCGCATCAGTCAGCGCAAGGTGGCGTCGAGGAGCTGTTCACCGGCCAAGTCCAACGAGAACGGCTGGATCGTGGAAAGCGAGTGCGAGTGCGAGAAGAGAGACGCGCCGAAACTGATCAAGCGCGGCAAGCGCGCGCTCATCGCCGAGAAGGAGAAGGCAACGGCGGTGAAACTACTGCGGCGCAGCAGCTCCACCGGCGGCGACAAGCCATTTCGCCCACGATTGAGCCTGCCAGCGGCGAAGAACAAGGCGCTTTGAGCTGCTTAACCCTCCACGATATAGCGTGAGCTATGTTGTCGCATTCTAATTAGATTTCTATGTCTGCAGTTAGAATAGGGAAGTTTTTAAATCATAGCAGGGTTAGCTAGCAAGTTAACGACGAATGGCAATCAATGCTAGGGCAATGCATGATGTAATAGTTGCAATAGGTAGTTTGTTTTTACAGAGCACACATTCTGCGTTGTTGCCTAATGATTCTGCAGCTACCTTTGTACATTCGACTCATTCTTTCTCGGAGTGCATTTAAAACGCACGCTTAATTTGCATGTTTATGTAAAAACTAATAGTTTTGCCGATTCGATTAATTTAAATTGAGTATTTTCTACTAAATATGAGACCATTCAATTAATTTATACTAGTGTTTATGAAACTGAACGAATTTCCTTTTCGTTATACGCGTAAATTTGATATGCGTGAATTTAATATACGTGCATATCACCCGATTTTACAAGACTTTCTTTGAATTAATTATTCAATTTCGATGTAAGACAAGTGTTATTATTGTGAATATTATTATAAAATGAAAGAATTTTTATGGTACAAATTATAATACATATATTATTAAGAGGTTTTTTAATCGCATTAAAAAGAAAGGACCTCAGATCTTGAATCCTCTAACTGCACTAGTAATTTTGTTGAAAAATATTTATTTATTAAAAGTTATACGAGATTTTTGTGGATTTACATTTATATTGAGTTGACATGTTTCGCCCTGAGGGCATCTTCATAAACATAAATTAGTTGTTTGTAGTTGAAGGAATTCAAACTGGTTGTCATTTTGAATCTGGTAACAATTCTGGTTACTTTGCACTAAGTTGAGGGCGCCACCATCATTCACAACATCATCTTTCGTTTTGACATTTAATCGTTCTCTCTCTCTCTCTCTCTCTCTCCCAGTTATGTACAGCCTTATTTAGCTACGACGTTGTGCATCTGTGATAATTTCATTAAAATCTTTAATAACCGGCCGCAATATTACAGAAATTCACCTAAATATAATTTTGTGTGATACTCTAATAGCAAAGTTTTGGTTTCCTGTGGATATTTTGTCGTTAGTGTGTGTGAGACTTGCTTGATACTTTTTTTCGATGATTTTTGAAAATTCATATCTCTTAAACTAAAAGCCAGAGCAACCAACGAATCGCTGATTATAGAAGACTGGAAAATTCTGTACCAGATAAAAATTTAAAATGTATATATATTTCCTACAGTAAAGGGTCGAAAAAGGCGTGACTAAAAAAGTGCTAAAAGTGACATTTTTAATTCTTTTGCCCATTTCATCTTAATCGCGCATATCTCGTGTAAACTAACAGAGATAAATAGGTACAACCTGCAGGGAATACTCCTACGGACTAATATCTATAAATCATACAGTAGTTAAAGTGGAAATCTGAGAAATAAAATTTTTTACTTAAGAAAAATTCGCTAAGGTGCTTTCTGATACTTTTTTCTTCGACGATTTTGAAAATTCATATCTCTTAAACTAAAAGCCAGAGCAACCAACGAATCGCTGATTATAGAAGACTAGAAAATTCTGTACCAGATAAAAATTTAAACATATATATTTCACAGTAAAGGGATCGAAAAAGTGACTAAAAGTGCTAAAAGTGACATTTTTACCCCTGGCTCCATTCTATCCAATCGCGAATATCCGCAAACTCAACAGAGATAAATAGGTACAACTCGCAGAGAATATTCTACGGACTAATATCTATAACATACAATAGTTAAAGGTAAAATCTGAGAAATAAAATTTTTTTTAATTTAAGAAAAAATTGCCATAAGTGCTTGATACTTTTTTTCGACGATTTTTGAAAATTCATATCTCTTAAACTAAAAGCCAGAGCTAAACCAACGAATCAGTTGATTTGGTAGAAGACTGGAAAATTTGTACCAGATAAAATTTAAAATATATATATATTTCCCACAGTAAAGGGTCGAAAAAAGGCGACTAAAAAAGTGCTAAAAGTGACATTTTTAATTCTTGCCCATTTCATTCGAATCGCGAATATCTCGCGTAAACTAACTGAGATAAATAGGTAACAACCTGCAGAGAATAATCTACGGACCACGTCTATAACATACAGTAGTTAAAGCGGAAATCTGAAAAATAAAAATTTTTTTACTTAAGAAAAATTGCCAAGGGGGTGTTGATACTTTTTCTGACGATTTTTGAAAATTCATATCTCTTTAAACTTAAAGCCAGAGCAACCAACGAATCGCTGATTATAGAAGACTGAAAATTCTGTACCAGATAAAATTTAAAATATATATATTTCCTAGAGTAAAGGGTCGAAAAGGTGACTAAAAGTGCAAAAAAGTGACATTTTAATTTTTACCCATTTCATTCAATCACGAATATCTCGTAAACTAACAGAGATAAATAGGTACAACCGCAGAAAGTATTCCTAATGGACTAATATCTATAAATACGCGTAGTTAAAGCGTAAATCTGAGAAATAAAATTTTTTTACTTAAGAAAATTGCCAAGGGGGGTGCTTGATACTTTTTTCTCGACGATTTTGAAAATTCATATCTCAAACTAAAAGCCGTGAGCAACCAACAACGAATCGCTGATTATAGAAGACTGGGTACCCTGTACCAGATAAAAATTTAAAATATATATATATATTTCTACAGGGTGCGGGTCGAAAAGGCGAATTAAAAAGCAAAAGTGACATTTTAATTTTTGCCCATTTCATCTAATCGCGAATATCTCGTAAACTAACAGAGATAAATAGGTACAACCTGCAGAGAATACCCTACGGACTAATATCTATAACATGCCAGTAAAGCTAAAGGAAATTGAAAAATAAAATTTTTACTTAAGAAAAATTAAGGGGTGCTTGATACTTTTTCGACGATTTTTGAAAATTCATATCTCTTAAACTAAAAGCCAGAGCAACCAACAAATCGCTGATTATAGAAGATGCAAGGCAAATTCTGCAAATTAGATAAAAAATTTAAAATATATATATTTCCTACAGTAAAGGGTCGAAAAGGCGACTAAAAGTGCTAAAAGTGACATTTTTAATTTTTGCCCATTCTTATTCAATCAAGTGAATATCTCCTAAACTAACAGAGATAAATAGGTACAACTCGCAGAGAATACCCTACGGACTAATATCTATAACATACAGTAGTTAGCGGAAATCTGAAAATAAAATTTTTACTTAAGAAAAATTGCCAAGTAAGTGCTTCATACTTTTTCGACGATTTTTTGAAAATTCATATCTCTTAAACTAAAAGCCAGAGCAAACTCAACGAATCGCTGGATTATAGAAGACTGGAAAATCTCTGCACCAGATAAAATTTAAAAATATATATATTTCCTAAGCAGTAGTACAGGTCGAAAAGGCGTATCAAAAGTGCTAAAAGTGACATTTTAATTTTTGCCTATTCTATCTAATCAAGTGAATATCTCGTAAACTAACAGGAGATAAATAGGTACAACTCGTAAGAGAATATTCTACTTGACCATCTATAACATACAGTACTCAAAAGTGAAATCTGAAAAATAAAAATTTTTTGTTTCTGAAAATATTGCTAAGGGGGTGCTTGATACTTTTTTCGACGATTTTTTGAAAAATTCATATCTCTTTAAACTAAAAGCAATAGAGCAAACTTAACGAATCGCTGATTATAGAAGACTGGAAAATTTGCACCAGATAAAATTTAAAAATATATATATTTCCTACAGTAAAGGATCGAAAAGGCGACTAAAAGTGCTAAAAAAGTGACATTTTTAATTTTTGCCCATTTCCATTCAATCGCGAATATCCTGTAAACTAACAGAGATAAATAGGTACAACTCGCAGAGAATATTCCTACGGACTAATATCTATAACATACAGTAATTAAAGTGAAATCTGAAAACAAAATTTTTACTCTTTAAGAAAATATTGCCAAGGTGCTTGATACTTTCGACGATTTTGAAAAATTCATATCTCTAAAACTAAAAGCCAGAGCAACCAACGAATCGCTGATTATAGAAGACTGGCAAATTCTGTACCAGATAAAAATTTAAAATATATATATTTCCTAAGGTAAAGGGTCGAAAAAGGCGACTAAAAGTAAAAAGGACATTTTTAATTTTTTGCCCATTTCATTCAATCGCGAATATCTCCCTAAACTAACAGAGATAAATAGGTACAACTCGTAGAGAATATTCTACGGACTAATATCTCCATAACATACAGTAGTTAAAGTGGAAATCTGAAAATAAAATTTTTTACTTAAGAAAAAAATAAGCCAAGGGTGTTTGATACTTTTTTTCGACGATTTTTTGAAAATTCATATCTCTTTAAACTAAAAGCCAGAGCAAACCAACAAATCGCTGATTATAGAAGACAGGCAAATTTGGGTACCAGATAAAATTTCTAAAATATATATTTCCTACAGTAAAAGGATCGAAAAGGCGACTCAAAAGTGCTAAAAAGTGACATTTTTTAATTCTTGCCCATTTCATTCAATCAAGAATATCTCGTAAACTAACAGAGATAAATAGGTACAACCTGCAGAGAATATTCTACGGACTAATATCTATGCAACATACAGTACTCAAAGCGAAAATCTGAAAATAAAAATTTTTTACTTAAGAAAAATATTGCTGGGTGTTTCGATACTTTTTCTCGACGATTTTGAAAATTCATATCTCTTTAAAACTAAAAGCCAGAGCAACCAACGAATCGTTGATTATAGAAGACTGCAAATTCTGTACCAGATAAAATTGCAAAACATATATATTTCCTACAGTAAAAGGGTCGGTGTTAGCGACTAAAAGTGCTGTGACATTTTAATTTTGCCCATTTCACCCAAATCAAGAATATTCCCAAAACTAACAGAGATAAATAGGTACAACTCGCAGAGAATATTCTACGGACCAATATCTATAACATACAGTAATTAAAGCGGAAATCTGAAAAATAAAATTTTTTTACTTAAGAAAATATTGCCAAGGCGCTTTGATACTTTTTTCGACGATTTTTGAAAATTCATATCTCTTAAACTAAAAAGCCAGAGCAAATCCAACGAATCGCTGATTATAGAAGACTGGAAAATTCTGTACCAGATAAAAATTTAAAATATATATTTCCTAAGGTGCAAGGGTCGAAAAAGGCGACTAAAAGTGCTAAAAGTAACATTTTTAATTTTTGCCCACATTTCATTCAATCGCGAATATCTCGTAAACTAACAGAGATAAATAGGCGCCAAACTCTGCAGAGAATATTCTACGGGATCTGGTCATCTATAACATACAGTAGTTAAAAGGAATCTGGAAAAACAAAATTTTTACTTAAGAAAAATTGCCAAGGGGTGCTTTGATACTTTTTTCGACGATTTTGAAAATTCATATCTCTTAAACTAAAGCCAGAGCAACCAACAAATCGCTGATTATTATAGAAGACAGGCAAATTCTGTACCAGATAAAAATTTTAAAATATATATATTTCCTGGGCTGCGTAAAGGATCGCAGCGGCGACTAAAAGTGCTAAAAAGTGACATTTTTAATTCTGCCCATTTCATTCAATCGCGAATATCTCGTAAACTAACAGAGATAAATAG